CCAGTTTCTGACAGTGACTTCAAAGTTTTAGCTTCCAGTTCCGGTGTTTCTGATTTGCGCATTTTAGAATCATTGTATATTTTTAAACATAGGCCTAGTTTGAATTTAGCTTTTAGCTCTTACCCGCTTGAAATTGTAAATAGGTAGGTTTTGCAGCTTAGGATTTTCGTTGTATTCTTGACTGTACTAATCACTGATTTATCTGTGTTCTAGAATTTTCGAACTGACGATGGAGCTGGACTCCGAAATGTTTTCTTTAAAGATACTATGAATTTTTGTGGTGTTTTCTTTGCTATTAAGTTTTTAGTGAATTTGCGATTCAAGCAAACGAGTGATATTAAGAACTTCTAAACCATGGTAAAATTGCAAGAAGTGCTTGGTCACTTAGATCCACTAGGATGGCTAGCGCGCTCCAGCGCTACTCATGTCCTCAAAGTGCTAATTGTTAAGGATATGATGTGGCAGTTATTTGTTGAGAAAATGACTTTTATTTGGGTGCTGGAGCACTGTAATGCACTTGTCCAGGCCAGCCCGCTCCATTTGGAGCAAGCACACCCTTATTTTGGCCACCGTGCTCCTCGGGCTCATTTACATAGGTGCATGGCCATTTAGAATGCAACCAATGCCAACCATAAATCCAAATTATACCATAAGTTTATAGCCAGCTGGCTGTAGAGTGTTAACACTTCAAAAGTATGTAAAATTACTTGTATATGTGTACATTTCAGTCCTACTTTTTTTATCTGTTTGTCTCAAAAAAGAAATGACCTAAATTTTTTTTTCCTTTTTTCAGATTTTAAATTTCTTTGAATCATCATTTTAAGTAAATCATTTACTTAAATCAACTGTTGATTATTTACGTGAATCAACTGTGAAATATCCATCCAATTCAATGGCATCAGAAGGTATGTTTGGGTAGCTCAATGATTTTTGTCACATTGTATTTATTAGCATCATCCATTTCACAAGGGTTATTTGTTAACACATTGAGTGAAATAAAACCCATCAGTGGGTCATTGCTGATTTCCATCTGCTGCCAGACAACCCATGGGCAAGTCATTTGAAAAATTGGTACAGAATATTTGAAGTAACCCCATAATTTGGTATTATTGCTATTTTTACCACATTGTGTTGATAAAAAAGTATAAAGATTTGAAATAATAGAACATATGTTTAACTATCTTATATGAATACCAGAAAAATCAAATTTATGTTTTTAAAATGGAAGGTTCAACTAGAACCCAAACATAATTGCACCAGCAGGCAGTTGGCAGTTTTGGAACTTGCATTCAATGTGTTAGATATGCTATTTAGCATATTTTTTTCAAGTCAAGAGTATTCTTGGCATGATATTCCAGGTATAGTTGCCATTGCAGTATTAGTATGAATCTATCATGTTTATTGTACGATTTATTAAATGAGGCAATATCATCAAATGAGGGTAATAACAGGGTGCGTACTGGTTATGAAAAATCTGGAAAGTCATGGAATTTTATTATTTGTTTTCCAGGCCTAGAAAGTTATTGGATTTCATTTCAGGTCATGGAAAGTCATGGAACAAAAGGCATTTTGATTTCCCTCAATAAGGTTGATGTTGGTTGCATGGCCAGGATCGTGATAAAAAACAGCTTGCAGACAAAAAGGCAAGTGCACTGCAAGTTCTCACTTTCAAGACATGAGCGTGGGACTTCATGCAGGCTGTAGTCCAAAAGCTACTGGACAAGAGCCCTATCAGGTATGGCCTTGGTAGGAACCTGAGATGGCTGGTGCCAAAAGTCTTCATCAAAAAGGACTGTTGGGAAGTGGGAAGTTGACCAGACACAGTTGAAGAACTGTCTCACTTTGCTTGTTGATGCCAAGAGATTCCCTAACACAAATGTGGATGGTGTTGTTGTTGTTTTTGATGTTCCCCAAGCCCCAGTCACGCCAGGAAGCCCGCGCCGCGCAGGAAAGCTGCCACCCGAGCCGGCTCGGACCATAACTGCACGATGTATGTTATGCCTGCCCGGAGCCTGGGTGCTGCCAGCTCCGGGCACTCGAGCAGAAGATGCTTGACGGTGTGGGGGAGTGCTTGACATTGGGGGCACAGGTCCGTTTGAGTGCTGTCCAGGCGGTGTTTGTAAGAGTTTAGCAAGGAATGGTGACCGCAGCGGAGTCTACTTAGGTGCACCCTGTCTGCACGGCTCAACTGCTGTTCTGTATGGCTGATGTCTGGTGGTATGTCATCAATGATGCTGTTGATTGGTAGATTTAAGAATGTGTTCCGGGTTAGGTGTGTGTGTATGTGTTTAATGAAGGTGGCTGGGTCTGTGGGCGGAGGTATGGAATTAATTATTGTGAGATAGTGGTTGTATGGAGTGTTGGCAATATGTCTGGGTGTGGGGGGTAGGTACTGAAAGTAATGGCAGGGACTGAGGGGATTGTGGAGTGCTGATGCAAGGAATTGGGCGCCTCTCATGTCTAGGTGTTCTTTCATAGAGAGGACTTTGATTTCTGCATGGACGTGACTGGATGGTGTGGTTTGGGTGCTGCCAATTGTGATTCTGAGGGCTGTGTTTTGTATGGTTTGTAGGTGTTTGTGAAGTGTGGGTGAAATTATGGGTGCCCAGGCTGGACTTGCATAGTCCAGCACTGAGCGTATGTATTGTTTGTACACTAGTGTGAGAGTTTCTTTGTTCTGTCCGAATGTTGTTCCTGTAAGGGCTCTGAGTGTGTTTAGCCTAGGTCTGCATTTTGTTTTGATGTCCTGTATGTGTGGCCCAAAAGACATAGAAGTGTTGTAAGTGACACCTAGGATCTTGGTTTCATGTGTGTGTGGTATGATGGTGTTGTTTAGAGTGACTGTGGGTCTGTGCTGATGCTCCTTTGTGTGGCTGTTAATAGTGTGCTTGTTGATTTGGTGGGGGCTACTTTGAGTCTGTTGCATGCTAGCCAGCCCTCTAGTTGTGTGATGTAAGGTTGTACTTGTGTAGAGCATGTGTTAGCATTGGTGTGTGTTGATGTAATTGTGATGTCGTCTGCGTAAGACAAAATGTGAATGTTGTCTGGTGGTGCTGGAATGTCATGCATGTAAAGGTTGAAAAGTGTTGGTGAGAGGACTGATCCTTGGGGTACTCCGTTCGGTATGTTTTTTGTGTTTGATGATATGCTATTGTAGTGAACGAATGACTGTCTGCCTGTTAAATAGTTGGCAAGCCAACGTTTGTGTTGTTATGTAGTGCTGTTTTATAGATTTTGTCTGTGAGTGGGAAACGTGGGATGGCATCAAATGCTTTGCTAATGTCGATTGTGATCAGAAGTGTGCGATGTGCAGGTCGCTTGGAGTTAATGCCATCTTGTATATGTTGTGTGAGGTTAGTGAGGAGTTTGGTGGTGGAGTGATGGGTTCTGTAACTGTGTTGTGTGGGTGAGAGGGGAATGTGAGGCGTGGTTATGGAGAGTATGAGGCGCTCTACAACTTTGGATGGTGTGCAGAGGAGTGTAATGGGCCTGTAGGAGGCTGCCTCGGTTGTTCGGTTTCAGGAGAGTTATGATTTTGCCGGTTTTCCAGATTGAGGGTATGATGCAGTTGGCAAAAGAATAGTTGGCTATATTTGTGAGAGTGGTGATACCATGCGGGCCGAGGTGTTTCAGATGAATGTTTGAGATGTTAACTGGCCCCATGGCTGAAGAATTTTTGAGCTGTTTTATGACGCGTAAGGTGTCTGATGCTGTGGCTAGGATGTAGTTATTTGCTAATGGAAATTTGTGTTTGCACCTGTAAATTTGTCTGTCTGCCCTGTGCTTGGGTAGGTGACTGATGGTGGCATAATAATTTATCAATATGTTGGACTGTTGTTTGCAGGAAGGGATGGTATCTGAGGAGGTAATTGCCAAATGAGATGGGGTGAGTCCACTGTTGGAGTTAGTGAGGCTGCGGATTGTTCTATATAGTTTGGAGGAATCTGTCCTGTGGTCTAGTGTCACCACGAACTCTCCCCAGCGTTGCTTCTGTCTGTTCCTTATAGAGGTCTTGATTTGTTCATTCAGTTCGTGGATGTGGTCTGTAGTTGCCTGTGAGTGTGGTGTTGGTGTGCATTGTAGGTTGTTGCGTGTTCGATGATGGTGTTGAAGTGGGTGAGGGTGTGGTCGATGTTGGTAATGGGTTTTGTGTTCAGCTCCTGGAAGCGGACCTCCGTTTCCCTGGTGAATTCTTCCCAGGAGCTTCTGTTGTAGTTGCAAATGGTTTGTGATGTGTGGAAGTTGGTGCCTTTGGTGGAAGGCAGTGTGATGATAATGGGTAAGTGGTCAGATGTGAGGTCTGTTTCTGCTCTCCAGGAAATCCTGTGTGATAGTGATGGGGAGCAGAAGGTGATATCTGGGGAGGTGGATCTATATAGGGCCTGATGTGGTATGTGCGTGGGAGTGAGTGTATTGTTTAGGATGAAGAGCAGGTCTAGTTGGTTACAGATCTCTACCCCTCGAGCAGTAGTGTCTTGTGGGTTATACCAGTCTGGATGCTTTGCGTTGAAGTCTCCTCCAAGGATCAGGTCTGGTAGTGTGTTTAATGCATGGAGTGTGGGAGTGTAGCGGGCCAGTAGACCCGGTGAGTGTTCTGGAGGAATGTATATGTTGATGAGGGTAATGTGTTTTTTGTGACCTGTCGGGATGTGAAATGCCTGTAGTTCCGTGTGCCTATCTACTTGTGCTAGAGTTCTGATATGCTGAGTTTTCTCCAGGTAGGCTACATTGTGGTGAATGTACGTACATACGTACGTGGATGGTGTTGTGCAATGAGATGTGCAGTTTTAGAGATGAATCACAACATTGCAGTGAACTGAATGCACAGTTTCAAGCATTTTCAATTTCTGATTGACTGGACACTTTTTGGCATGCCATTCTGTCAAAGAGCACCTACAAAAAGCTTTGGAATGTAGTGCAGATGCTCATGCTCCTGTCTCAAAGCCAAACCACAGTTGAAAGAGGGTTCTTGTTCAACAAGAAATCATGACACAAACATGAAAGAGCAAATGGTGGTTGCTCTGCGTGATGTGGTTGATCAGGTTGTACATGCTGGTGGCCTGGACAAGATGACCATCACCAAGAAGATGCTGCTTGCAGCTGGCAGTGCTGAAACAGCCTACAAAACCTACTTATTTGGCAGAAGAGAAAGAGCAGAATGCTAAGGCCCAGAAAACCCAGAAGAGGTAGGCTTTGTTGGATGATCTAGATGAACTGAAGAAAAAGAAAAGGCGTATGGAGGAGGGCATCTAGGCGCTTGAGCAAGCAACAGATGAATATGCAACAGCAGTGGAGAGAAAGGGTGATCTGAAAATTATCGCAAAGTTCAACGCCACGAGGCAATCTTTGAAAACAAAGCTAGACACTCATGAACTGAACATTAAAGAAAAAGGTGATGAAATGACTGCCAGTTTAATGTTAGGGTAGAGGTGTTGAAGAGTGTTCTGAACTGTATTGACATTTTCATGTACAACCTTGTGTGCATTACTCAATATTTGTTCTCATTTGACACTATTAAATTCAAAATAATACCATTGTGGGCTTGATTTTCAGCTATGTGTCATTTTTGTTGCTCTGTGTCTGCCTGCTCTATGCACCTACACATTAGCTATTTATCAATTGTAGGAGATGATAGAATATGCACTGTTAGTGTTTCAGTCTTGCCAAACCTGTCATATATGAGTCTTTGAAAATTATATTGATGGTCATGGATTGTCATGGAAAAGACAGGAAATTTTTTTTTCTAAATACCAATACGCACCCTGTACTAACAAGGGAAGAAACATTTTTTTGTTAATAACTTCTTACCATGAATTTTTTTTTCTTTTAACTGGAGCCTTTGCTAACCAAGGTTTTACTGCAAATGTGTTTGTGGGGGTTTCCCTTATTACCCCAGTGGGTGTCCCTTATTACCCTGTTGTGTGGAAATAGCCGTCATTTTGTTTTGAATTGAGGCATGAAAATTCCATCAATGAAGTTTTGAAGCTGATACCTGTCTGCAACTTTTTTTCAAGCAAAATTTTTTAATATAACAATTTTTCACTACAGACCTTAGTAGAATTAGGTTTTCAAAATATCACTTGTTGACATTTTTTTCAGGGATTTTTTAGAGCTAGTAAATGTATGATCTCTTAACTTCCGTTGTGCTACATAGATAATAAAAATGTTGAGGTTTATGCAACTACGGTATTTTTACCATGGCAATAGTTCAATTAGTTTTTCTGCTGTGACATTTTTATGCATGGCAAAAGACTGTCCCGACTCCCAATTTACTGCGCCCATTCCTTGTTACTCTGTTTGACAATATATTAGTAATTTTAGTAACTCAAGTTATGAAGTATTTTTCTGAACCTTCATTTTATATAAATAATTTTGAGTAAATTCTATGTTATGCCTATTGTTTGCATTCAATTCTTGCAAAAGAAATAATTATGTATCTGAATTAGGTCTGATTTTGTATCATAATAAAGTTGAGTAATTAATTGTGTCTACAGATATGAACTGCCGACGGTCCAAGAGATTCCGAACTAAAGTTCTCAGTTATTGGGACTTTGAGAGAATAGTTTCTGTGGAGACTGATAATGGAAGTGTGGCTGCTGTCGTAAAGGATATCCCTGGTGAACGTACCATCATCTTACAAGGCCAAGAATCGGCTGATTCAGATATTGAGAAGAATTCTTCTTCCATATTCTTTCCTCAGAAAAAGATCCCAAAAACAAACTTCATTTCAAAATCTGATTCCAGTAACATAAAAATCCAAGCCAATCGCATAAAAACAAAAATGCAGCCAAAACCTGTCAAGTCAAGTAGAAAACGATCTCTCTTTGCTGGGCAGTCTTTATTGAACAAGACTGCATCTCAGGAAACCAATTTTAAAACCTCCAAGAATTTTTCTGAATTAAGAACAAGAAGCTTACCACTCCTATCTGCTATTAATATGTCCAGAAAATCTAGAAAACCTTCTTTAGAAAGTAATTTTCAATCGAGTCATCAGAAAACTTATTCAATGGAGCATTCCAAAATTTCTGAAGAAATTCCTCACCATATGAGGGTCAGGACTAAAAAAACTTCAGTTGACAAAAAATTGTCTGATGTGTCCAAAGTTAAAGGCAGATCTGAGTCACAAACAGAAATACCAGACAGAAGCTCAATACATCCATCTATGACTAAATCCAGTCAATCAGGGGAGTTAAGCAAAACTACACTGGTATCTGATTTTGCTGACTGTTCAAATGAAAACATAAATAAGACAGGTGCAGATGCAAAAGAATCTGTACATGGCCACCATTCTACTGATATTGAAAGCTCAGGCTTACCTCACTCCCCAATTCTTTACAATACCAGGTCTTCAGCTCGTGAAGCACCACTACAGACTGAAGTTGCTGCTTCAACAGAGAATGTGTTGTCTGAAACTGTTGCTGCTGCTGTTACTTCACCACAGAATGAGTTGTCTAAAACTGCTGCTGACAAAGTCGATCAGCTTATGAACTTCCTAGTTGCTGGGCCAAGCAAAAATATTGAACAAAACCCAAGTTCAAGTGATTCAAGAACAGATTCTGGTCAGTTTTTCTGTGAATGCCATAAGCCTTTGTTCTCTGCAATAGAAAAGTCATCAAGTTTAAAGTTTATTTAGATGTTCACTGTGCATGATAATAGCAACTATTTTTAATTGGTAATATATAATTTCTTATTTGTATTTGAAAACATTTCTAAAATATAAATATGAATTCAAGTTAGGAATTAAGTTAACTTCCTCTTTAAAGGTATGCCACTGATTTATTAAATCCAGTTAAAAAAAGCTCAATATCATTAACATTAAGGTTTGGTAAGTGCCGATTGGAAATGAAAAATGACTCGCATCTAATGTGTTTAATAATCTGTACAGAAAGTGAAGGGATAAAGCACTTGAGAAATCTGTTAAATGATGGCAAGAACCTCAAATTTTACCCACTGGGGCGCGATGTCATGCAGCCTGCCACGTCTCGTGATTTTTATATTGCAAAAGGCGCCGCCAGTGGAAACATAGAGACCTTCTTCCTTTGTCTCAAGAAAGGCTACGTTGCATTCACTACTCCTGCAGACACGGCAAGTGCATTTCCTTTTGTTAATGAATCTACTTTTTTGTGAACATTAGAAAAATAACCATGTTGGTAAATTAAAAGAACGTGATGCTTGCATATGTAAAACAATTTTCACCACATTTTAAATGATGAAGCGCCAAATTCAGTCAAATCTTTTATGAGGGTTTTATATGCCTTGCGTGTTAAGAAATCAATATTCCCTAGATTAAACAATCACCCAATGATCAGAAATATTAAAGTAATTAAACCTTCATTGGCATTTGTCGTTTTCTCGCAATTATTTTGGACAAATTTCATGCGGCCAATTTCTTAACATAAATTAACGTTGCAGACACTGTTGACTCTGAAGGGGTCAGGACAGAGCTCGATTGTCATCGACGGAGCTTGCATGTTTGCTTCTACTCTTGTCGCTGGCATTCAGAACGAAGCTAAAAAAGGTAAAATCATGTTTTCGGTGTAGTTACTCAATATTTTTTTGTGTATGAATAAATGTATTCCTATTCAAACTATAGTATTTATCTTATTATTATCTCAATTTGTATGATGCTCAATGTGGCACATCCAGCAACATGTCTAACTAAAACTGAATGTTTCAATTTAACAGTACTATGCTTTTATAGCTCTCCAGCTGCTAATTTCTAATTTTTTGTAGACTAAATTATTCGTGCTTGTCATGTTGTGCCGCGTGTGACAGAATCTTTAATATTGCTAAATGCAGTTACGATGAGTATCATTCGACTTTATATCAGAGAAACATAACTAAGAAATCTTTCCGAGTCACATCTTATGTAAAAAATATTTGGTTCATTTGTTGGAAATTTTCGATAGTTACGTCTGTTTTCTCATTGAAATGTTTGTCCCACTCAAGAGAACTTGTGGCACTTTGATTATCCCAGGAGCCTTCATGATGACTCATACGTCATACAGATCTCGAAGATCGATTGCATTGGCAACCATTACGAGTGCTATACACTCGTAATTGCAAAGATTATGGAGCTTCATAACCATTTTAGCTTTTTACTGTTTCAAAATGCATAGGTGCTATGGACCATGGCTTTATTAAGTAATCTTACGGTTTTATAATATCTTTATTTACGTTGTTACCTCTATGAGCAGGTGTTACCATTGCCCTGAACGTGGATGAAGATTGCTCCGAGCTCCTCATCTGCATCATGCTGTTTGGCTCGCAAAATTAGCCAAATCTCTAATGTATTACGTTGAACTTATTGCCTTCATTTTTACGAGCTTATTTGTCCAAATTTATTTTTCGTCAAGTGTGCAAATTTATATAGTCATAGTAAGATATTTTTAAATGAATAGATGAGTTCAAAGCTATGGGATTTTATGATGCCTCAGGCCGACTTTTTTAGCCACCAAACAAGAATTCCTAATTAACTACTGATTTATCCACTTAGTCTTCCGATTAACCTGCCTTAAAATCATTTAGACATTGAAACTGTCCTCTATCTACCTACATATCTGAAATTCTGACAGCTCTTTTTCTTGCTTACATCAGAGCGTTCCACATGTTAGAACTTCTTCGACTTGTCAGTGATGCATCATATTTTATCTCAATTGCTTTAAGACTCGGCAGTGCGACCAGTGAAAGACTTATCCAGTTCGAGTTTGTGTGTTACATAAAGCAAATGCTTGCGATTGTATCTAAACTTTCCACTTCTCAGAATAATCCATATGAAATTTTATTTGCAAAGATATAGATCTCTTATTTCTTTTTCTCGAGTAAAATAAATGGAGACCATGGATATGTCTAAGATTACTCTGTGAAATAAGTTAGGTTTTCTAAACCCAATCGACATTTCCATTTTTAGAGTGGCATCGTTAGAAATCACTATGAGTACATATCTGATATTGTATTATAATTTGCTACCAAGGACTAACAACATTTGTGCGCGAACGGGATTGACTACTTTCAAGATAGGCGGTCGTCACTTCTGAAAGATATACTTGACATTGCAACTGATGTTTTTCATCGTGAGATATGGCACCTTGGATGAACAGTTGTATTTTTTTTCATTTTTGCACTGCATTGTTGAGCCTCTCACACATCTTGAACCAGCAATGAAAATTGGTTAAATCGTGAAAATTACTTTCGTTTTCTCTCTTATTTCTTTATTGCGATTTTCGTCTAAGAAATTTGACGTTATCACTAGCTTGGCATTAGCGCTGACGGAAAAGAATAAAATGATTTTAATAATATAATAGATTGTAATTTTTAATTAAATTATGAGACTACTCAATGCTAATGTACTTTGTATTCTTATTGAGTTATGTTGTATTTTGGTAATATTTTGTTTGCTAAAAGTATTATGGTTTCGTAAAAAATAATCGAGGTAATTATATTCGAGCACATGCTGTTGAAATAATCATTTATGCTCTTAGTAAAACTAAACCTTTGAACCACTAATGTTCAACAGTGAGGTTACCGTGGAAACTAGTGGAAACTATATCAATTTCTGGAAAGATGTGGAACTTGTATAGTTTTGAATCAAGCTAAATATGAGCTAATCGCTCCTTATTGAACGACGTCATTTCACAGAAAGTTGGAGCTTTATTGAGATCCTTACCAATTTTCAAGTGGTAAAGACATTTCCTAGCAAGGAAAACGCCACGGCCAAGATGTTATACTTATTGAAAAGGAGTGTCGGTGTGGAGAAAGATACCCATAACCTGTTAGGTGGAAAAAATAAAATCTATAACCAGCGCATTTGGTTCATATCTGTAGAATTTATAATTCAGTGTTCCTGATAACAGGGTTGATTTACCTCTCATCAATATATTTTGTTTCAGTCATTGATGCTCCATTGCCCATATTAAGTACTTAGAGTCAGACGCTCAAGTTACAAGGATGCCCGTATTGCTGTTCTCGGCATAATGGACGATATTTTCGATTAATCTATATCAATCAGTTCCGTTTATTTCTAGCGTGCGCCAGTTTATTTAGTATATTGAGTTTGTATTTGCTGCAAAATATTTTTTGTTCGTGGTAACCAAGATTTTTTTTGTTGATAACCAAGCGAATTATTTACAATAAATGCCTAGTATATCAAGATGGCGTTTTCGATGCATAATTTTCCTTTTAATATGAAAAAAAGGACGGACTCCAGAACTACTCTTGATACAATAACGTTCGAGTTTGGATCATAAACGAGATTTGCACTACCCATGTTACTCGGAGGAACCATTGTCTCCTTCAATCAGAACATAGAGAAGCATGAGACGTGTTACATACTCGGGAGCAACTTTGAAGAACACTACTCGTACAAACGCGAACGTTTCTTGTTGTAGTAACAAATAAACGTTTCCTGTAGCTGAAACAAACGTAAACGTTTACTGTTACTGTAACAAACACAAACGTTTCCTGATGCTTTAACAAACGCAAACGTTTCCTGTTGCTTCAACAAACGCAAACATTTCCTGACGCTGTAACAAACGCAAACGTTTCCTGTTGCTGAAACAAACGCAAACGTTTCTTGATGCTGTAACAAACGCAAACGTTTCTTAATGCTGTAACAAACGCAAACGTTTCTTGATGCTTTAACAAACGCAAACGTTTCTTGATGCTTTAACAAACGCAAACGTTTCCTAATGCTGAAACAAACGCAAACGTTTCTTGATGCTTTAACAAACGCAAACGTTTCCTAATGCTGTAACAAACGCAAACGTGTCCTGTTACTGAAACAAACGCAAACGTTTCCTGATGCTGTAACAAACGCAAACTTTCCCTGTTGCTGTAACAAACACAAACGTTTCCTGATGCTGTAACATGCAAACGTTTCCTGTTGCTGTAACAAATGCAAACATTTCTTGTTGCTGATACAAACGCAAACGTTTCCTGTTGCTGTAACAAACGCTAACGTTTCCTGTTGCTGTAACAAACACAAACGTTTCCTTATGCTTTAAAATGCAAACGTTTCCTGTTGCTGTAACAAATGCAAACGTTTCTTGTTGCTGGAACAAACGCAAACGTTTCCTGTTGCTGTAACAAACGCTAACGTTTCATAGGCTACCAGACCACGACTGGCAAGCATCATATTACCTTGGTGTCTAGAGCTAAACTTTGCCCTGAGTTATCGTCATTAAAATCGTTTTCATCTGAATCTTGCTTTGAGTTGGCAAAGTCGTCAAAGAGTCACTGGATTCTTTCTGTTTTATTTTCTTTTCAAAATAGTTTAGTCACGTTTAATGACAATATCTTTGGAATTCGATTAAAAAGCGTTCTAAATGCGATTGGTTTCTTCTTGAGATCATTTGATCTTGCAAGGTGAGCTTGTAAGAGACGCACAACATTTCTTATTTGATGGCGATGAATGTATAACAGATATCACTGCATATCTCTGGGGCTAGCTATAGTTCAGTGCGACAGCTGTGTGCTTGTGCCTCTGGACTAAATTGCTTGGGGAGAAAATGAAAAATTCTACTTGCTAATATGGCGGTTTCCTGCACCATGTGAAGTTAACCTATAAAATAAAAATGCCTCCTGAGTGGAATGCTGTTGATATTTATCGTTGAGCGCGCTCAAAATGTTGGACATCGCATCAAATGTAAACTACGACGAGATTTTCCTTTTCTAAAATTTCCTAGGTTATGTAAGTTTCATCATCGTCGTGACCATACGAGTTATTAGTTAATGAACAGCTTAAAATAAATGAAGCAAGAATTGATACTGGAAACACGCAAGCGAAGGCCACACTCCTATTTTATTTGTGTCCAATAGCCTCTTATTCGAAGCAAAAATTCTTCACACCACCTATGATAGCAACGAATATATCTGGTAAAAAGAACATAAAGTAAACACGCTATTGAAGCTATTAAGCAGTTTAACGTTGACTTGGCGCGTTTCAACTTGGCTGGATGAACTCAACTCGTGGCAGTTCCGAGTTACATAGGTCATTACAGGAGCTCGTCCAGTACCAGTAGGGGGTCGCCTGCCGAAGACCACTACTGCCCTGGATGTAATGTACCATCATGATTCCTGCCTTCCGGAACGTAGCCTTCAACACTTCAAGCCGTCCGTATCTAGGCCGTGGGTCGAACACTCGAACCAGCCCTCGGTCGAACGACCACTTGTCGAAGGACGATAAATTTTGGAACAGAACTATGCTATCTGAAACCTAACCTCAGATGCGGTGAACGTAAAATTACGTAATTTAACGATGCCCGGAAGTCATTTTCGATCCGCGGCCTGGTGGTGCACGGCAGGTGGTGGTCAAGGCCGGAGGAGGACAAAGCCGAGTGGTGCACGGCTGATTGGTGTAAGTCTGGAGAGATCCAAGGCGTTCGATTCAGGGCTTATTGGTGCACAAAATTTGTGGTGCACGGCTGCGCTCCCCCAGTAGGTCTGTTGCCGCGATATCTCTCATAGAATAGAAGCGTCGGCGCTGAAGAAATAGGCCCATGGCCTGTTGCCGATCCTTGAACTTTTCGTGACTTGATTCACAAGGAATCCGGCCTTTGGAACCCGATCTTTCCATAACTGACGAAAGTCATAAACTGATATAATTTCACCGAATTATTCGTCGATTTTCATAGTAATTGTGTTAGATTACTTGGAATTGAATAAAACTGGTGTTGTGTTGTCATTCGATGTTTCGGGACAACGAAGTGCCAAATGGCCACATCGAAGTTGCTTGCAAACAAATACAGAAGTCTTATTGAATGAAGATTTGATAATAAAGACATCTTTGTGTTGAAAATGAAATCATTGATTTTTTTATTTTGTGTGAATTTCAAGGAAATTGACAGTAACATGAAGCGTTTAAATTACCAAAAACTAAATTGTGTGGCAGAAACATGTTGAGTTTTTGCATGTTGATTCAAGAGTTTTGCGAAAAAATATGTAAGCACTAAATTTATGTGTTGGACGTGGCCACAAGCGAAATAAACATATTTCTTCCATGAAATTTTTTTCACGTGTGGCTGCTTTATAATTTGGAGAAACCCTAACCTAAGCTTCATGCAGAAGAAACCACGGGCAAATTTTTTACAGTCGCAAGTGAAAAACTTGATGGACGAGGGATGCCAGCTACGACGATAAAACCAATTCTTTGACCATATCTTACAGTTAGTTCTTTCAGTTCAGTTAGTTTCTTTCCTTTTAATTTTTAATTGAATTCTCTTACAATAGCACTTTTCTATTTGTTAAATCAACGATCATTACAGCTAAATTCATCAAAAGCGATTATTACATATTAAGGTTGAAATCATGGTGGTAATAGTAATAGTGATATTAATTTTCATTTTAAATCGATCATTGTGAAGGAAAACTATAGTTAGAGAGTGGATTATCCATTGATTCGAGAGCTGCCAACTTCTTGCGATAATTGCAGCAGCGGCAAAAAATTCAATCCACACTAAATCCTAAACCGACCTGCTTCTCGTCTCAAAAGCATCCATCAAATCATCTAGAACAATAGATCCCTTAGCAAAAGCCTTAAGAAACATGGAATATATGACTAAGAGTCAGAAAACATGAAATATCTTATTAAAATAATTGGCTAAGTAACACTTCGTCAACCACACAGATCGATGATATCCAGACAATCTTCGTGGCCTTGAACGTAGGCAGCTCGGGCGAAATGTGCAGCAAACTTTGCTGGTCGTGGAAACTCACCTGCCGTTCAGATCTTGTCGGCCAGTGAGCGGATTAGGTCACATTCTAAACCTACTCGATGTTGTTTGATAAGTTAAACTTCGTAACAAAAACTGTGTAAGAGGAATTACGGGGACTACTGGTAGTGTGGGAAACAGTGATTCTCTCATGAAACCCGCATCTGAATTTGTGAAATGTTTTCAATCCTGTTAAAGAATAACTATTTATCATAATTATAGCATTTACAGTGGTTCTGAGATGATTTTATCACAGTGTCGCTGTAATTCGTAATAGAGGGGGGGGGGAATGTCAACAATGATTGCTAATGATCGATGTGTTTTATTCTTGATGTTGTGATCTAGTTTGATTTATATTTAAAATGTAGCAGTTAATTTGAAGAACAAATCTACAATTGTAGCAGTTCCATTAATTTCTAGAAATTACTTCACGATATTGACAAAACTTCCTACTTCGATTCATTTAAACTATCTTAATTCATTGTAAAATTGACTTGAATGAAATATATTTCGGTTTTTGTGAAATAAAATTCTTCCTCTGACCAGGACGTTCGAGCAAACGTTTCACAAACCCAATTTAGTAGTCGCAAACATTTATGAGGTTTAGCATTAATGCATATTTTAGAAATTATAGTCGATATACTTTGCGGGAAGCTGCTGGAGCTCATATATTCTCACTAATGAATCAAATTTCAAAGGAATTTAATAGTGAAGAAAACTCCAAGCAAATTCGCCATCTCGATATTGAAAACTTTTCAGAGCCCAGCTCCGTCATCAGTCGGCAATCTAAAAACGGAAAACAATCATTTTATAATTCAAAATTCCAAATAAGACATTAAAACCTAAAAAATACATAAAACTCAAAACAACCTTAAATCGAAATCAAGAGCCCGTGGAACACAGAGTCATAGTCGACACGAAAAGATACGTGTATGTGTCTCAATAATGCGTTCAGTTTCTATCCTCTTGAAATAGTGAATCGCTAGGCTTTAATGTTCTAGTGTTTTATCTTAGATATTAATCTTCCCGTGTCTCCTTTGACTCTGTGGTGTTCCACGGGCTCTTGATTTCGATTTAAGGTTGTTTTAAGTTTTATGTATTTTTTAGGATTTAATTTCTGACTTAACATTTTGAATTATAAAATGAATGTATTCATTTTTATATTGTCGAACTGATGATGGAGCTGGACTCCAAAACGTTTTCAATATCGCTATGGCAAATTTGCTTGCCGTTTTCTTTGCTTTTAAATTCTTTGTGAACTTGCGATGTAAGCAGACTGATAATAATATAAGTAATCAATTTCTAGCTGTTTTTCATCCAAAGTAAAAATTTATATTGACTCACAACCGCAATATTTTTGTATTTAAATCAGGAATGGCAAATTATCACTCTGCAGATAAAGATTTATTAATGGAAGTCACACGAAGTGTTATTCCAGCTACGAACTGACGTTTTTTAGGCCCATGGATCCGCATTTGGGCAACCGTGACTAGTAGATAAACTATATAGACAACTATGCATGGTATTTTTTAGAGTTGTATAAACTATGAACCTATAGTAAAACTATAGTCATGGAAACAAGTTTGGCAATCAATATAATTTTTCTACTCTGGTTAAATAATTCGACTTGTGCCTCAACAGAAGACAGCAGCGCACAAAATAAGTCGCCAATGACGGTGTTCATCGGCATCGTCATCAGCTTGGTGTGCCAACTTATTAGTGGCATTTCCATCAGCATCAGAAAGAAGGCGTTGAAAAATGTGGCCGTGAGTACCATGCTACATTCCGTCAGTGGAGTAAAATGTTCTTTGTTACGCATTCATGAGGGGTTTCGATTAGAGATGAAATATCTCTGAACAAGCATAAATTTTTAGGGTGGTAGAACACGAATAAATAAAGCATTCATGAGGGGTTTCGATTAAAGATGATATATCTCTGAACAAGCATAAATTTTCAGGATGGTGGAACACGATTAAATAAATATTGGGAGGCGAAATTTTTTAATAAAAGATCATTGCTAACACAAAATTAACCTAATGCAATGAAAACAGTCTTTTTTCGATATATAGATTGCAAACGAACGCGTTTTTTGTGAAGGAGACACAATTTTTATTGAGGCTCCAAAATCCCCGACGTCTTTAAAAATGGAACACGGAGCATTTTCGCGAAAAATACGATTTTGCGTTTAACATTTCCGTCAACTTTGATGCATCGTTTTTCTAGATGATGGGCGGCCGCCCCGCCTCTGAAGGAGGTCTTGGGCACCTAAAGTCGGGCTTATGGTGGACGGGATTGATTCTGATGTTCGCAGCCCAGGGCGCCGTGGGCATTTCTCTTATCTTCGCCCCCGCCGTGGTTGTGGCGCCCCTGGCCGTCCTCAGCATAGCGGGCGCCGTCATAGGAGGACGCATTATAATGAAAGTGAGTGCCTTAGACCGCTCACAGAATATCAGAGGACGCATTTGAATATCAGAGGACGCCTCATAATGAAAGTGAGTGCCTCAGACCGCTCACAGAATATCAGAGGACGCTTCATAATGAAAGTGAGTGCCTCAGACCGCTCACAGAATATCAGAGGAAGCCTCACAACAAAAGTGAGTGCCACAGATCACACGCAGAATATCAAATAACGATTCGTCACCACGCCTATTCATAGAATATTCCTAATCAAAATTCAAATTTATGCTAAAAAACGGAGCGATTACTTATTTACTAACTTAGCTATTATAAAAAGTCAACAGCTAGGGAGCAGCCATATATACCGTAAACTCTAACGCACAACTGAGTGGGAAACTCACTAAATAATTTGTTCAATCAGTGTGAAGATGTTATAGTTTATGCATGTTATTATAGAGAACCAAGAACTGTCTGAGAATCTGTCAATCAGTTTATTTCGTTGAATATTCGGGCCGTATAAAGACATTCTGGGACCTCATATGATATTCTAATCAAACGAATTTTCAATGCTTGTAAGGATCTGATGTTTACTTGCAGCTAGCATCGACGTTATCAATTCGATTTTTTTCAGTGAATTTATATGACTTGTTTAAAAATTACTGAGATAATCCATTTCATTCACAGGAAAAGCTCTGCGTGTTCGGCTGGATGGGATGCATCATGGTCATGACAAGCTGTGCTATCTTCTCCATATGTGCTCCTTCAGAAATCGATTTGAAAGATGCCGAAGAGTTTGATAACCTTTTCAAATCAATTAGTTTCATTTCATATACATCTACAGTGACAATAAGTTCATTACTCACTATTATTTTGGCTAAGAAATTTAACAGCAGTCATTTCTTGATTTACTCTCCGGTAGTGGGAGGTATTGCTTCGCTGAGTGTATGGCTTTCCAAAGGCTTTTTGGTGTGCGCGACGAACGGCGTCTTCAACATTTGGAGTATGTGGGTCGCTCTAGGGATTTTCGTAGCAATGACGCTGCTCGGTCTATATGCCATGCATGTAACACTTCATGTGTATGATTCGTCACAAATATCAGCGATGAATTATGTTATTTTTTCAACTTTGACAATTCTTTGCTCAACGGTACTCTTCCCAATCAAAATTGTCCTACAAGTCCGGGACGCATTCTTGATGGGCCTTAGTTTTATGGGCATCATTGTGGGATTGTTTGTTATGATTGTTGGGAAAAAAATGCCTCTTAGCTTCAAAGACATCGTACTTAAGAAAAACGAAGAAGAAACCAACCATTCTTCTCGCAGTATCACCACCAGCAATGAAGATATAATCTCACAAGCAGCCACTGATGTCGCTTGAACGCTTCGTTGGTCCACCCTATCCTCTTCAGTTACGTTACTTTGTGTTCAAAAACTAACTTTATTGCACGATATCCATCCAATGTTGAGTTTTTAAAAAGGGATTTTAAGATTGATTCTTAATGTTGAAAAATATATTCAAATCCAGAGTTAATTCGTGTTTATAGCATTCAGAAGTTAACTTCAGTAAAATTAAATATGTTAACAAGTTAACAATATTATAATGTGCACAATGTATATTAATTTCAAGTACCTGATGGCCTACTACTATTATTCACCAATATCTTTACTATTCTTGTATATGGCTTGTCTTTTGTTTTATTTTACCTGTTACAGCCCAAGAACTCACAAAGTATCTTGAGTTTTAACAATCAACAAATTTGGAAAATATCTCGCATGCCTACACAATTTTACTTCCTACGTGATGCGGTTGCAAGTAATCACCCATTACATTCCTAGCTATAGGTAGAGAGTAATAGTCAAGAAACGAGTAAGAATTACTCAACTATATACAAGCGTTAACCTAAAACAATACAATTTAATCGCTACGTAGAAGTACCATTGACGCATACACGTAATGAATAAATAAAAGCTTCTAAGCTACATAATAAACTACATAATGCAAGCTAGGCAATTTTTTAAATAGGGTTCACTGCAATTTAGTCATTGATTAATTTACTGAGAATTGCGCATGTGATCACGTAGTGTCGGTAGTGATACAGTTTACCCTGTTCGAAAGTTGAAGGTTATTGTTGGTTGTTAGCTACTTTAGCCTATGTTACAAACCTTGGTATCATCGATCTTGATGATATGATGTTGATGAAAATGCCCCTCCTTTCAGTTAGGCCGTCGCAACTCGACAAATGAGAAAAAACTTATGCCTGTACGTTCCACGGAGATATATTATTTTGATCTGCTCTGTATCTCAATGTAATATGTGCACAGAGTTGAACAAGATCTGATCCAAAATAAAAGGTGGGTAGTGAAATTATCTTTCTTTGACACTTCCGCTATTTATTGCGACGTAAATGCTCCGTTTAGACAGCCCCCAGGAAGAATATTTTGTTCCCGCGCGTCTGACTGGCATATTTCGAACCCATATTCCGGTGGCCTTACACACATTTCGGTGGCGTTTTTGATATTCATGGTACAATCGACGTTCTCTACGCAACATTCATTATCGTTTCTTTCCAACTTTGGTGAATTCACTGAGTATATTCCATCGAAATGCTCAACGCTATTTTCATAACCAGCCGTGTTCACATTTATGGTAGAACTCCTTTCTGGATCTATAATCAATTTATCTCCCGTTCTTCCATTTAAATCGATGTCTTTTCCTTTGACCATGATTACTAAGCCGATCACATTGACAATGAAAGCAAATATCATCAAGACACCGTCTTCGATTCGTAATTTCCCTTCCAATGGAAAAAAGACCACGGTCCCTAGAACAACCCCAGTCGTTAAAGTAACGTACAAGCTCGACATCACTAGAGATGCATTAAAGAGATCTGCACTGATATTGTTAACATAAAACTGCACAGCCAAAGACAGTAAGAGCATAATTAACGTTACCCAGAGGATCCATTCCGAGAAAGATCGTGTCGAGAACCCAATGCCAACGCCTTTAGCGAGCCATATTGACAGAGTACCCATGCCTCCTTCAATCAGTACATAGAGAATCATGTACCTAGCTCCGTACTTGGGAGCGAGTATGAATAGTACTATGGTCATGATGAAAATAAAACCTATATACGACAGGAAACTTGGCGAGAGGAAGAGCTCGTTGTATTCTTCATTGGACGCGATGTCCAGCTCCTTAGGTGCGCTCATGATGAATATCACGCAACCACACACCACCAGCAAGCAGCCCAACCACCCGAAGCCTCGCATTTTTTCCTGTACAAATACAATTCTTTTACAACGAATGTTAATAGTATTTTTTGTGGGAATAGTTAAAAAATAAATTTAAATGCCAACTGATGCCGATAAGCTACAGTGAAAAGATTGAAACTCTGCATGACAAAGTGAAAACGTTAGATTAATTTCTCCGTCTCTTTGCGTTTTGTTTATTTATGTTTTACGTGAGCAGAAATTTTCAAAAATCGCGTTGAGAAATGTTAATTTCTGTTCAAGAGAAAGTTGAAGCTGTTCTCTGTATTGACTCGCCATAAAAACAAGGAATATGAAGAAGTTTAGGAATTTAGGAAGAAGGAAAAATAGGAATTTCCTAAGTCGTCCGAAACAAAGCTTTCCGATAATCTGAAGTCAATTACAGGTAACTGTACATGCACCCAAAGTCTAATAACATCGATTTTTAAATGAATTGCTATTCATTTAAAGTAAATTTGTTTATTTATATCCCTATTAACCTTGAGTAACCAAGAGGAGGCAGCAGTTGCGGCTAGTAGCCGCAGCACCCCGACCGGTGCCACCAGGATGGCCGGGGCTAGGATGAGGGCGGCGAAGATCAGCGTTTGTGACAGCGCCAGCGCCGCGGTGCCGCCCCACCACACGCCTGACGTCCAGTACCCGCAGCCTCCCTGCGACGCGCGGGCGCCGCCCTCCCTCTGTGGAGGGCAGCTTTATAATGTGGAATATAATTATAATGTGGAATAAGCGTTATAACATCACACGTCATCGTTAGAAAGTTAATAGACTTTGATAGATAGGCTTTAATGGGGCTAAACCTACAAGGGCTTATGAAGTTATTAATTTAATAGCGTAATGAAGTTTATTAATAAGTAAAAAAATAATAAGTAATCAAATAATGATGACATTTAATAGCTTAATGAAGTTATTAAATTATTTAAGTCATTAATGACTGGCTTCATGATTACTTATTTCAACTTATAGACAGGCCACAGTATATGTATTGAATTTATCATCATTTTCATTATTTATGGGGCTGAAGAATATTTTAGGGCTGCTAAAGCCTCCCTAAAATGAGCCTAATGATGCCACAGCTTCAACGTCTTAGATAGCAAGGAATTACAATTTCATGAAATAGAAGTAATTCTTAAAAAATCCTTATTTAATCGTGAAGTTACCGTAGAAGTATGTATATGGTGAGAGTGACGGAAAGAAATCCAACCCGATAATTGAACAACTTTTTCGTGTAAACACATAAGCCCTTGAAATTATGGAGCAAAACCTTATCCTGACATTCTCGCTAATCCCGAAACAATGCGTTATCTCGGATCGCATGATAATCCTTCACTATCAAGGTGCGCTGCTAGCAAGGTCAGTTTTTATGACATATATACAGCACCTAAGTGAATTTAGAAATGTTTGCAGTTCTAAATAATAATACCAGTTCTTCACTGGTTAAACTTCTCATTGAAAATATATAAAAAAATAAGTTTATATATATATGAAAACTTGCTTCGCGAGCCAATTTTGGGCTTGAAAATTAGGCGCAACTGTATAATAATTAAACATGGAAAATTAAGAAAAAATGTACATGGTTGAGTCACTTATATTGCATTGATTGATTTGCTGTTATGAATAAAATTTTGCTCTGTCTTTTTTTCGTTTTTGGCTGCTTATAAATTTATTATACATTTGATGTGACAGAGAGCCCATGTGCTTATACTACCAGGTATTTAGTCTACTTACGAGCCACCAGCCTTTCTTTACGCTCCATGACAAATATATAACAAGAAATTATATAATATATCCCGAGCTTTGTAACGCTTATCAGGTGCGATGTGTAAAACAGATAATGCCTTATGATGTAGCAATATAAAACGCATAAATTTAATATTGGTATCAACGTTGCATTTCGATCATTTCTCCCTGAAATTTTAGCTTCTTTGTGGATTAATTAAATGACTTCCGACTGCTCATTGAACAGGATTTACTCTGAGGTGAAGAATGATAAGCTAGTATAACTAATAACCTACCCGTTATCTCCTATTCAAATATTCGCCGATGTTTTTAAACTAAACTGCGTATTATTACCAAGTGAAAAATTCCATATTTTTTTATTACATTATCTCAAATTAATGGCAAGCTTTTTAAATCCTGTTACGTAGAAGGTGAACGCTGAAATATTATTCTATAGTACTCGCATAGAGTAAGAAAATTAAATGAAAATTTTGTTTTGAAATCATAAGTTTGGAAGTTTATTTTATGCTCAGCCGTAGCCCTTTGTTGCAACCTACAGGCTACAAGGCAGATTGCAACTTATCCCGTCAGTAGCCTTAGGTTACTTTCCATGCCACTGCATAATGAAACATGACTTCCCACTATCCATTACACAAACTGAATGTAATTTAGCGATATCTTGGCCAATTAAAAAAATGTAACTGCAGTGAGTGACAGAGAGCGCATTTTCTCGTCGACGAAAACGTGAAGTAACGGACAGACAGACAGACAGACGGACGGACGGACGGACATGTCGAGCACAATGACGCCTTTTTTTCCATAAATGAGAAAATGCGCTAAAATTTACATGCTCGTATCATAGTTTGCAAGTTACGAAGCTACTCACTGCGCTATTCTGGAGTCCCCGCCTCCTGATGACGATGGAGAAGCCCTGGAAAACATTACTTAACACAGCTAGTAGAAGTCCAATGGATGTTTCGAGCGTGGTGGCGGCTTCTTGCCCGTCATACTCATTTGTACTGTTCAGTAGTCCATAATATGAGTAATTATTCAATTCTTCAATGAACAAATCCGTGGATTTAAAATCTCCCATAATCTCTCAGGTACATAAAAATTCTTGATTTCGCAACGTCACCACAAATATATGATGAATGAACATCCTACATAAGATGAATCTTAGAAATGTTTGATGATTTAATTTTTGTAACAAATATATTTAAATTGTTTTTTATTCAGCAGATTGCACTCGATTCACTTTCTTACTGGTCCCTGCAAACAGGAAACGAAATGTTATTGGTCGGTAAGATAAGCATTAGGCAAAGCAATTATACTTTGATAATTAAGATTAAATGGAAAATAATTATAAGGCGCTAATACAATTAATTTATCAGACCTTTTAGAGTACCAACATATTTAATACTGTATAAACTACAGTAGCGACGGTTTTAAAATTTCTATCAACAATTTTCATAAGTGGACCATAAAGGAATTTCAGTAAAATGCTTTGAAATTTCTACAAGGCTAATTAATTTTCAACATTGATACAACAGTTGTTCAAACCCCAATGAATATGTACAAGAAAAGAACTAATTTTCGGTATCGACGAATCTGGTAATCAAGGAACACGAAATCGAATAATTACTTAACTTGATGAATCATGGTTGGTGTGTTATCATTTTGGTCACCGGCTACCGATAATGCTTTTGTCAGCTAATTTTTAGAAAACTAAATCTTTTTATTTTTAAATTAAATAAAAATTTATTCTATTATATATACTGCCCCCACCGGCTGCCGACAATGCTTTTGTCAGCTAATATCTAAAAACCGAATCTTTTTATTTTTACAGGGAATAAAAATTTATTCTATTATCGTGCTCATAATTGCTGATGTTTAGGAAGAATAAGCATGTGATATTGCAGCACTGGAAGCAAGGTACAGGTCACGAGATGCAACACGATTAAATACTGATGAAACTATAGTAGCGTTGTGTCTACATGTTAACTACGTAATACATTCATTATCACGATACCACCATAAATCTATTTTTATATAGGATCAATAAAACCACGATATATAATAGGCAATGATAAAAAGATAAATCTTGGCTAAAAGTATACAGCGAGTACGACGCAAGTAATCTGGAAAATTAAACTGATTATTTATTTGAGGAGGAATATATGTAACGCAAAACATTAACAAATTCAAACAAATACTTTGTTCTGCTGAGTCCTGAATAGGGCAGGTGTCGAAGAATATTCCGCTATAACTGATTATGTGGGACCATCATCAAAATTCCAAACTATAAAATGGGTGCAAAAATCATAACATTTTTTGCATGATGAAGTGTAACTGTTGATCATAATAAATGTTATACACTCTACGCCCCGAGCCATCTAGCGGCACTTTATAGCGTAGCGATCTGCTTCTACTTCAGCTCATGCGGACCTTGACCCATGGTTGAACTTTATAAGGTTGACCCACGAGGAGTTCCGTCTTTCAGTTCAGCTTTCTTGTTACGTCACCACAATCGAGAAACGTAAACAATCCTGTCATTCCCATGACGGATTTGTTGACTGGTTTGATCGCATTTCGGTGATTGGTTAATGTCCGTGACGTCACTGAGATCAGTGACGTCACAGGCGAACAACAAACTACATCCGCAAAAATGAGCTTGTCATGGGTCAATCTTATGCTAGGTTCAACCATGCCTTGACCTGACATACGCACCAAGGTTGGCCTGAGCAACCTTCGGCAGCGCCATGTTCCTCTTCCGTGAGGCCGGACAAGGCATGTGTGACTGCTTCCTTTCATGTAAGTGTGCTTCTCTTCAGTTATCAGGAAATTTACCCGCCCAGACACTCGAATGAATTTACATCAGGATGGCGGAAGAAGCTGCCGCAAAAAAAACTTTGTTGCGGGAATCGTGCATGATTTGGCAAGAAGGGAATTTTTCCATATCAGGTACGAAACTATCAAATCTCAAGTTCATTTATGCTTTTTTTCTATTGCTCGCTCTACAATATTTTGAATAAAAATTGGTTTCGAGTAGCGGATATTGGATTGAAAGTATAACAAATGCGAGATAAAATAGAATGAAGGCTCTAAAAATTGCACATAAGCAGCCGCCCTTAGGCGCCTCATTTAGTCCGTATAACAGAATGGTATTGACCGATGTTTAAAACACCGATGTTGAACAACAGTAAATATGTAGAATCTTTTGCACCAGCGAATTTTTCGATAAATTAGATAGATTAGTCCACATGCCAGCGTACGATCAGGTTTGAATTTAAAATCTCGCAGAATTTAGGAGCATTTTTTTGCGAGGCCAGACACACATTGAACACACAACCTGGCAGCTGAATATTGTATCAAGCAAGCAAGAACAGAGCAACGAACTGTTCATTTGTTGTCTTTATAATAATTTTGAACAATTTCTTATGTAATATATACAAAACAGAATGAAGTCACACTCCATCATAATTTATTAATGGTGAAGGACAGTTGAAAAGCAACAAGTCTAAGTAGAAATTAGCAACAGATTTTCAAAGTATGGCGATAAAAAAAATTTAATTTGATAGTTTTTGATCCGAACGCTGCCAGCAAAGCCCAGTCAGACGGTTCAAAACAACGATATGTTACAAACAAATTATAATTTAATGTGAATCTTTTCAATTTTCATACCCAATTCAAAGCATAAAAAATCGAAATAAGTTCCTTGAATCTGACGAAAATTTGTTTTCCAGTTAAAAAATGCATGATATATGTAAATTATTATCTAATAATAATCACAGTTGAAAACGATTTTAAGATAAATTCACACATCCAAATGCTAGAATACGTGCTGCTCATCACACTTGAGACGATATCCAAACACATTTTTTCTAAGACTTCAGGTGTGGAAAATTTCGTGACTCTGATACTACACATCATTATCGCACATATTTTCCTCTAAATAACAAATTCACTTACAATCCAAACGTATAACTTACATATATATTTTTCAATGTCATTCGCGCGAGTCACCAGCAGGCACGGAACCTACCACCTACACAACATCACTCATGCCCGTCCACCACCACACTGATCGCTGGAGCCGCGAAGAGCCGACGAGATCAGGTTCCGGCGTCAGTTTTTGCCTTCCGTAAGCAAGTCGCGCGCTGAAGGCTGGGCATCGCACCAACTGGACGCACAATCTGGGCTAAAAAGAAAACTTGATGCAAATCTCATTTGCTTGTATTTAAATAGCGTGAGAACATCGTAGTTAGAATACGATAAAAGTTGCGTACGCAATATTCGGTTATATGATATTAGCAGAGGTGTGCAGTAGCGCGCTACATTTAGTTGCCGCCACATTTTCAGTAACGGTAGCGGTAGCGGCGCTACATTTAAGCAATTGTAGCCGTAGCGGTAGCGCCCGCTACATATTTAAGTAGCGATACGAGATTTTGCCGCTACAGCGCTACCGCTACATTTTAAAATAAAGCCTTTAGATTTTACTTAATAGTATTAAATATTATTTAAAAATCAGCTTGATACATTCATAATATAAATTACAGAATAAATCTGTAGGAAATATTTCGGTGTAATGTTGTCAACCTCAGCCTGTTACTAGTGTCAACATGTTGGTTGTTACCAGAGGTGGGCAGTAGCGCGCTACATATGTAGCGGCCGCTACATTTTCAGTAGCGGTAGCGGTAGCGGCGCTGCATTTTGAGCAATTGTAGCGCTAGTGGTAGCGCCCGCTACATTTAGAGCATGTAGCGCTAGCGGTAGCGAGCGCTACATTTAGAGCATGTAGCGGTAGCGGTAGCGGCCGCTCCAGTTCAAAGTAGCGCTGCCCAGCTCCGGATATTAAAACTTCATAACTGCAAGAATTATGCACATCACTCGAAGAGATATTCCACTGTTAACAATTTGTACTTTTTTCGTACAGCATATTTTTGTTCTCACATGTGTTTAAAACAACTGTTAGTAATAAATATTCAGTTTCGCTACTCTATCGAACGTGAAAAATATTTATGAATCGTATATACTTGCCGATTAATTATGCACCAGCTTATTGCCCCCACATTCAATGATAATTTTCTGTACAACGCGATTCTCTTTTTTTTTTTCTTTTAATAATAATTTTCTGTGTGTATTTTATTTTCATGCACCTGGCGGCAACACACTAGGAACCGCTTATTAGACGCTATACATCTCGCACATCAATTATTCTTAAATTTATATGTCTTTTTAGCGCATTTTCTCATTTGTGGAAAAAATGCACTATTGTGCTCGCCATGTCCGTCTGTCCGTTCGTCCGTCCGTCTGTCCGTCCGTGACTTCACGTTTTCGTCGACGAGAAAATGCGCTCTCTTTCACTCACTGCAGTGAGTACTGAGTTATATTTTTTTTAATCGGTCTATATATGTCTATTTTTCCTGAACCCGACACTAGTAACGGCTAGGTTACATCTGCCCTTTCCTTTTTTACTTTTTAAATTTAAAAATATTTTCATTTAATTTTTATTAATTTAAACATTAATTTGTATTTATCTTGAATTCGTATTACGCGTATTCATATACATGTTTACTTAATCATTTGTTTTACTCGCAGATGTCACTTGATTTATCAATAATACTTGCGCGCTTAGAGCATATAGGGAAGGAATTTAAATGGTGGAAGACTAGCTTGCTCAGTCAGTATTCAGAAATATAGAGCAAAACACATAAGTAAGTTATTTTGGTATTAATTCTTGAAAGTTATTCATATTGTGACCAATCACTTTTGTGTATCGAAAATAACTTTTTGCGGAATCCACCTTTTCTATCTAATTTAGTTTAACCCAATTACGATTGAAAGATTTTCCCCAACTTAAATAACATTCTCATAAAATTATCTTTAATAATTATATAATATAATATATATAATATATAATATAATAATATAATATAATATATATTATATATAATATAATATAATATATATAATATATATTTCAATAATTATATTGTGAAAGGAAGAATAGATGAAACACGAAGAAACGGAAAATGTTTGAATTCTTGCAACCCATTGTTCGATAACATTATTTAAACTTGCGGCATCAGGTCTATATATTTGCTTCCAATAATCAACATGGGTTATGAGGCGATGTTTTCTGCAAGTCGCAACGAATCTTCTATTTCGTGTTTTTGATAAGCGTCCTTCGGGTACACAAATGCTCTCTATCATGGATGCGATCAAACGACTGTACTGTTTTATTTGTTAATATATTTTACGTTTCATAATAACCTGCCTTTAATATTGCAGGCAAAAATCCCACTATAGTGCATTTCCTGCACAGAGTAATAGAAACAATTAATAGAAAGAGATTAACAGATTAATAGAAACAGATTAATTAATAGAAACAGATTAATAGAAACAAATCTTTGCTGCCAAGCCAAACGATCTTGCTGAAACTTTCATCATGCTTCGACTTTTAATAGATTTGATGATTACTTTTCATTTATGATTAATTTAACATTCATTTTTGCATCATTATAAGTAGGTCGGTGCAATGTCTTAATACGAAATGCAGCGAGTAAAAAAATTCACGTAAAATCTAATAATTTTACTTCCCTTTTGAAAACTTCTGATTAAAGTCAATTTCATCACAGTGCTACTAATGAGAATGTTTCATTATGGTTTCCATGGGATAAATACTAGAACAAATCATTTATTCATCAAAATTATATTTTAAATTCCATGAAAAACGTTGGCCTTATATGTAAAAATTGTACCTATATAATCAATTATTTTTAATTTTGGAGCAACCATGTAAACTGTGGGCTATACCACCTACTCAAATTCGGTAACAAGAGAATATATTGTTCCAGGATACATTTTTCGATGATAAAATTTATAAGTAGTCTGCAGGCTCTGCAGCAAAGAGCAATTGGGGGCTGGGGGAAAACCCAATTCCTAAAGTGGAAGCACCGGTATTTTTTTAGCGCCAAGTGTGGCCACGTCTGAAAAACTTGCAGGGCTAACGTAGCCGGAGGCGACGAGAAATTTTTTTTTTCGCCTTATCGCGTCAAGCTAGTGAATTAAATTCAAGTTTTTGTGTTACTGGGAGCTCAAAAATTTATTGCGCTGAAGTACGCCAATATGCGACAGATCGATTTTATAAACTCTTTAAGATTCTCAATTTAAGTTTTACGACTAAACGCTGCAGGGGAGATATCGCACATGGATAGCGTATTTTGAAATGAAAATAATGTGTATCAACGATGACAATATCCGCGCTTCTAATAATTAATGCCACATTTTCAGCATTTCTGACTTTATCGTATGTTTTTGTCGCAATTTTATTCCATGTGTTAAAAACCGTATGAACATTTCATTCAATTTGCTTATAGAGCTATAAATTACGTAACATTAAATGTGTCTCACAAGCATTATATTTGCTCAGCTATGTTAATGCTCCAAGATCGTACACCTGCTGCAGTTGACCAGCAGCCTCCATATTAATAGAATTTCAAGTCCCTTGATCGATTCCGTTTATAAATTCCTTACTTGATGCTAAACAATGATCCTGTCGGAAACATGATTTATTTTCAAGCTAATTGTTATCATTAACTTCACATAAGTTTTTAAAACGCATAAGCAATTTTATAAAATGGCGAGCGGATTATTTATCTACTCGTTTTTTATTGGACTATTGACTCGATGAACTGTACAAGTGGGTTCGAAATTTTGGCCAGCATTAATTTTTTTCGAAAATACCAGAGTTTGGTCATACAGTATATTCCGTTTGAAAGCTATTGTTCTTGATTGTAACATGGTAATGTTGCGATACAAATTTCATTAAAAATTCATTTCAAGCTGTTTCACTTTTCTGCCGTAATTACAATGGATGTCTCCTACAGCGATAATGAAAAACGGTCACAATAAAATTCTTTATTGCACATGATGTCACATGGTCCTCCTTTTAAAATGAGGGCTATATCTTGGATCCTTTGTCTTGAAAGATGTTACTAAAGATAAAGCATAAATGTCGTTCTGTTCACTGAAATACGGCGCTCGTTCACTTACAATCATCCTTCCTAGTCGCAACGCTATGATCTTCATCCGAACGGTCTCTAACACATTCATACGGTTATAATTTTTTTAAATTGGTTTACTATTCCTAGGATTTTGAAAAAAAACTCATCATTTTTGCAATAAAATAGCAGGCTTTCATGAAAGAGCTCTACAACGCTGAGTTAAAAACATTTTTACTAAACCGCTGTTTTCAGAATGCTCATCTATAATTATTTAATAGTAAACACCCCAAAACGGTTGCCTCTAAACATCAAATTACCGTATTTCTTCCTTCCCTACTATAGCAAGGTAAAATTTGTTTGCGATGCGGTTTGTAATAAATTTAGCTCATTTGATGTTTTTTTAAATGTAAAATGTCAAACATGCATGGAGATAACTGAAGGGTTCTCACTCCTCAGTTTTTCTGAACATTTCGTTGTCTGTGCCGCAATTCACTTTCGCGTCAGTTTCTGTTGGGCCCTCCATAGTCGCATATTTAACTTCTTTTAGTAAAATTTCCTTGAAATTTACCGTCACGTGTTTACCAAAGTTCAGCACAAATAATCCTAACACGATTGTGGTGAAACTAAAAGCCATCAAAAATCCCTCCCTCAAAGTGATGTTATATTGGATCGGAAAGATAAACGACGATGAAGAAACAATTAGAGTGGACATGATTACTGTGACTGAAGCTTCTGCAGCCGATGTTTCGTACAAGTGCAACAAAATATGCATGTAGTATAAATGAAATAAAATAATTGACAAATTTATTGCTATCGACACCCATAAAAGCCAATGATCGAAGACACCCGTGGAAACAAAAATTAAAATGCCTTTCGTCAGCCAAGACAGCAAAGTGCCAGCGGCACCAGAAATAAACGCATAAATCAAAATGTGCCGTGAGCCATACTTGGGAGCTAAAATCAAAAGTACAATTGTGCACAGAAAAATTACTATATAAAAGGAAATAAAATTTATAGATACGAGAAGCTGCACAAAATCCTCCGTAGTTTTCAAATCCAATTCTTTAGGTGCGATGATGGCAAACATGGCGATGCCGATCATCAGAATGCAGCATCCCACCCATCCGAAAACGCCTATCTTTTCCTGTCAGGTAGAAACCGTTAGTCTTCATTAATTTTTTCAACTATTTGAGCTATATTTCAAGAAAATTTATGAGTTAATAACTTTTAGTTGATCGTATAGCACCCAAGACTGGTATAAAGTGTTTGGTTAAAGCATGTATAAGGCAAGTAATACATAAGTTGAAGCCTATTGAAATGCGAGTAAATTAACTGTAATTTTTGCATATTCTGCGAGGAAAAATTATTGCGAAATTCGTGAAAATTCATATTCGTTAACTGTCTTTTGTATTTTTTAGCATGCCTACATTTGCGTGTCCTACGGCATGTATGAATGTTCGTATTTTGCGCTTATGGTAATACCAGAGTGCGTAGTTCTGCCTCTGTTGCCACTGTGAATGTTATAAATTAATATTGCATGTGTGGTGTAAGTGAAGGAGTGGTCGTTGATGAGTCAAAAATGAAAAATAATATTCATGTAAATGTTCTCGAGTGCGAATCAATACCAGTGTTAATTGGACCTGGTGCTGGATTATTCTATTCGATCTGAGGAGATATTGTACGCAGTTGAAATTTTTGTGGTTATTGCGATGGTTGTGCGCCTATCCATTCGTGGAGGGCAGTGTCAAATTAAATTATATATTATATTATTATGTTTATATTACATAAAACACAAAATATTATAATATCCTATATTTTGTGTATTACATTTAGCAGGATTTATATGTATACATATAAATATTTATATTATTATTGTCGAATTCTGAACTCATTCACTTTTATCTAGTCGATGTACCAGAACGTAACCAGTGGTCCAGAAGTTGTACTGGACCACTGGACTTTTTAGGTACTTACTGCTTCGATGTAATTTTAAAGAGATAAGATCTTAGTGGGTGTGAATTTGAAAGATACTATCACTAAAGATTATTTCCACGTTTGCCTACCTAGCAGTTCCCCCGTATATCCGTATACCCAGATATCTTTCTCTGTCGGAGGGCGGTTAGTTTCATTGCTGGCTGCCGGCATTTTTCATGCTTGTACATCGTATTTTTTTAATCAAATGTAGTTTAATAAGTTCTAGTTTTAGTGCGATGAATAGAAACATATATATTTTGCCGATCTTACGTCAGAAAAGTAGCAAAAAAATTTTTAATTGTAAAATGCTGAGGTGATTTGGATAGCACTCTCCCGAAGAATAATTTTAAATGTGTTCAAAAAATTATATAATTAGTTAGATATATACCGTAAGGGTCCATGTCGGGAAATGTCATCGAATGTTTGTTCGTTTCTTTGCATATTTGGCAATGTCTCGGTAGGATTTATTTGTTTCGTGCTGATTTGTTCGGGAAATTTTACATGCCACAAAATCTGCTCACCTTCAGAATCCACCGCCCTCCCATTGCTGAGCTAGCAATGTTGAGGACTCCCAACGGCGATACGATGATGGCTGGGACGAAGTTAAGACATACTCCTACACCTATCTGCGAGATGGCCGTTAGAGCGAAGCCCAGCCACCATAAGGCTGACTTGAGGTAGCCTAGTCCACCCTCAGCCGCTGGGTTAGAACCGTTGAGCTGCGGAAAAACAGTGATCATATGGATCGTTTTTAGCGCATTTTCTCATTTATGGAAAAAATGCACTATTGTGCTCGCCATGTCCGTCTGTCTGTCCGTCTGTCCGTCCGTCCGTCCGTGATCTCAAGTTTTCGTCGACGAGAAAATGCGCTCTCTGTCACTCACTGCAGCGAGTACTGAGTTATATTTTTTTATTTCTTACATCGCAAGCAGTATTTTTGGTAATTAGAAATAAAGCGATGAAGGATTATTAAAATTCCTTCTTCTAAGACTAATAATAATCAGGAGTCGCCACGTAGTTTCCAGCACATATCAGGGGATTAAATTTTTCTAAAATTGAAGACTGAAAACCTGCTCTCGTGTGCGGGCGGCTTTTGTGATGAGCACAAGTTATAAACTTTCGAAGAGAATATTTCTGGTTCCTAATAGTCCAATTCATCACTTGACGGGCCATCTTATTTTGTAATGCCGATGATTATGATTCCTTGAATATCTCGATTTGCTGAATTTCATGCATTATTTTCTTAAATTTAAAATACTCACTGCCACAATAATCAAGGCTTTTTTCCTTATAGAAAGGGAGAAGCCAGTTAATATGAAACACCCAATTGTGACAAGGATGCCGATGATCATGGATGTCGGAATTTGATTTTCCAAACTCAGATCTGTTGGTCCGCACGAAGCATTCAACGTTGAAGTCCCATTGAGGCTTTCACTTCCGTTCAGGTGCAACTCCATGACTGAAAAAAAATATAGTTTTTAGGATACTCGTAAATTTTCTAAATGTATCACTATAGATGTCACAGCAAAATTCAGTTGTGAATTTATGCATTTTATCGACAATATTTGAGTTAACTTCATTTAGATTATGAATAAATACGTTTTATTTTAGATTCTAAATTAATTCGAATCGGTCGCTAGAACTGTGAAGATTTGTATGCAAATTCGCCCCATCAGTAATCTTGATCCCATCGCTCATGGCGAAGACCTTTTAATTATCGCCAAAATGAAACGCGGACTCATTAGGTAACCAAAGGAGTCTTCCTGAAATTAATTCTTAGAGCGATAGATTACAAGCATGTGCAATGAAAAACTTAAGAAGAATTATCAATGCGGAAATAATCGTAAAATGCCTTTGAAGTGATATCTTTTTTATAATAAACCTCGTCTCTCATATAGAATAACTGCTTTACAACCGATATAATCAGCGATTATGAAAAAGTTCTCGAGGTCCAATCTGACTTATGTTGCTAAATTATTATTTTTTAAATTTAAATTTACATATTAAATTTAAATTTAATCGTTACTTCATCCAAATCAAATAAATCGATTCATTTTTTTAGTGTTCGTTGCTCTAGAGTGCGTTACTTTACTACGTTACCCGCGAAGATCACTATTCAAACTTTAGCCTTAAGTCTTGATCTCAATTTCCAAAGCATCAAAACCTTCAACTGTTCTTCTTATCTTTCCTGTCCAATTTCCCTCCCTTGAACTAATATCCACTATATCCCTCCAATTATTCTTCCTTCATAAAGTGATCACCACACTGGGCATTTAAACTTCAGGTTCGAAGTTTTTTCCGTGCACAATTGATATTTGGATTATTTATTATAACCTTAATTAGTTTACCCTGGCATACTGCAAGATTTTTGAATTAATTCTTCTACAGCATCCATTTAATCCCACCCTGAGACTAGCCGGCCTAACTTTATTTCTACTTTACGCATGTATCACCGTATTATTTCCACCCGCCACCTTCAACTTCTTGTTTACCGTATTCTGATGATTGCGTTTTGGCACTCGGCTCTTAACGATTAACGACTGAACATTGCCTGCATTACAATGAAGCAAAACAACTCCAAATCAAATTCAATTCTTTATTGAATAAATTAAAGTAAGAGCTTTCTTCATTAGTTCTTTTATTTGAAACCCTATTGATTGTGTGAAATCTTCACAAGATTTGTATACCTGTGCCCTGTGCAAACAAAAAAATATTCCCAAATGTATGTAAGTATATTCTCGAATGGAGTGAGATGGAAGAAAGATTCATGTCGAGGCATTTGCTGCGCTAATATTAATGTTGATTGACAATTGTTGTCAATCAACGTTTGCTGCGTGTTTTTCAAAACTGTTGACGGAAAACCAAGCCATCACAACTAGCGCGGGTTGATCCAAGATTTCAGCAGAAGAAAAAGACGTGCGACAAAATAAACAAAATAAACGATAATATAAGCGTGGTATTATGGTGATGTAGTGAAGTTGTTTCGCCCTCAGGAACATTACTTTTCTCTGAATGGATTTTGTAATTTTCACAAACGTACCCTATATACATTGTGAGAAGACTTTTAATTTTCCTAAAGGTTATCTGAATTGTTTTCAGGGACAGGAGTTTAAAAATGGAGTGTGGCTTCGTAATATTCAAGGAGAACGTTGGTAGAAAATTGATTCCCTATTCATAGCTACCATATTTATGTAATCTATGCTATGCCTAAATAAATGAATTGAAATCAAAATTTTGTAAAACGACATTAGTCTAAATGTTTGAAATTAATAGAGAAAACTTTATGGGAATGAAGCCGGGTTGCAATTCTCATAACCAAAAAGAAAAGTGATCATAACATGTTTGATTCATTCACAGTCACACTCAAGATAAATAATGAAAGGATCGTCTAGAAAACACCCTATCAAAATTTGGATGCCTGTCAGCCGCTGGCTCAGGGTCGCCCCAAATTCTTTTTGCGGTGTAAATTAGAAGCTCTATGTCCGCTTTAGGTTCCGGTTGCCGGAGCGAAATAAGCGCCGAAAGAGAATCTTGTGAAATTACCCGTCGAGCTTGGGGCGATCGTTATGAGATGCGGCCATTTCACATCTGAATCATCTCTAATCCGAGACTGACAACCGAAACCAGACCGTCTGCCGCGGCTAAATTTTGACAGGGCAGGCTGTGTTTTGTACATCGCGTGGAGGAAAATGGATGACTTCAAACGTCTTTGAGAGATTATAATGTTCAGAATTATTTCTACATAATATTCGATTGATTACATCTTTACTTGGTACTATAATCTGACACCTACTCACTCGAAATACCTGAATATCAGTGACGGAGGTCGAAGAGACGTACACCACACAACTGCTCTCTGCGACGACGCGAGCCCGTCTCTCACATGATGCTGGGAGAAACCCAAGGTTCAAATTAAAAATTGTGATGAGACAAGATTTTGATAAAAACTTGCACCGAATGCAGAGGTGTACAGGCCAATTAGTGTGCTATTTAAATGAAACTGGTAAACTTAGATGAAACTGGTACACTTAGAGGATGAATCTGGTACACTTAGCTGAAACTGGTACACTAAGATGAAACTGGTAAACTTAGATTAAACTAGTACACTTAGAGGATGAAACTGGTACACATAGATGAAACTGGTACACTTAGATGAAACAGGTACACTTAGATGAAACTGGTACACTTAGATGAAACAGGTACACTTAGAGGATGAAACTGGTACACTAAGATGAAACTGGTAAACTTAGATTAAACTGGTACGCTTAGATGAAACTGGTATACTTAGATGAAACTGGTACACTAAGATGAAACTGGTATACTTAGATGAAACTGGTACACTAAGATGAAACTGGTACTCATAAATGAAACTGGTACACCTAGATGAAACTGATACACTTAGATGAAACTGGTACACTTAGATGAAACTGGTACACTTAGATGAAACTGGTACACTTAGATGAAACTGGTACACTCAGATGAAACTGGTACACTTAGATGAAACTGGTACACTTAGATGAAACTGGTAGACTTAGACGATACTGTTACACTCTGATGAAACTGGTACCCTTAGATCAAACTGTGAGTGGTACATTTAGATGAAACTGGAACACTTAGATGAAACTGGTGCACTCAGATGAAACTGGAACACTTAGATGAAACCGATGCACTCAGATGAAACTGGAACACTTAGGTGTAACTGGTACACTTAGCTGAACGCGTTCTTCTCAAGTCCAAGCCTAACATAAATGCCGTTTTCAGACCATTTTTTTTTTGTGGTTCTGCTTGCCAAGGTTAGCCTGCTGTCATCGCTGCAAGGTGCTTGTAATAATCATTATTTTCGTGGTAAAAAACGGACGGCTGGATCGAGTTGAGGCTCGGCTTATTCGTACCTGAATTCTCGCATAGGCAACAGGCTGCTACATGGATGGACTTTGATCGCTGGCGGCTCTTGTTGCAAGAATTTGGACGTAAGTTGCAGGGATGTTGAGAAAGCTTTTTCAGAATTTTTCTAGTAAATTGTTTTCTCGTATTGATAGGCTCAACAAAGGGTTGAAAAAAATGTTACTAAATAACACGATAGTGACAGTGTGTGTGGTGACAGTATGTGTGGTGACAGTATGTGTGTAAAAATATTACTAAATAACACGATAGAGACAGTGTGTGTGGTGACATTATGTGTGGTGACAGTATGTGTGTGGTGACAGTGTGTGTGGTGACAGTGTGTGTGGTGACAGCGTGTGTGTGGTGACAGCGTGTGTGTGTGTGTGGTGACAGTGTGTGTGGTGACAGTATGTGTGGTGACAGTGTGTGTGTGGTGACAGTGTGTGTGGTGACAGTGTGTGTGGTGACAGTGTGTGTGTGGTGACAGCGTGTGTGTGTGTGTGTGTGTGTGGTGACAATGTGGGTAGTGACAATGTATGTAGTGACAGTGTGTGTGGTGACAAAGTGTGTAATGACAATGTATGTAGTGACAGTGTGTGTGGTGACAATGTGTGTGGTGACAATGTGCGTAGTGACAGTGTGTGTGGTGACAATGTGCGTAGTGACAGTGTGTGTGGTGACAATGTGTGTGGTGACAATGTGCGTAGTGACAGTGTGTCTGTGTGAATCCGTTCTCGTCTGTCATCCCGCTTCTCATGCCACTACGGACACAATATCCGTTATCTTCCTCTCGCAAATATATTCATTCAATCCAATTGACTTTTCCTGCCTTCGTCAAGTTTTTTGGTGGAAATTATAGCGAAGATGTTTCGTCGAGCTGTGCTAGTAATGCTCATTACAAAGCACCATTGAACACCGTACAAAGCGAACCCAACTCATCGTGAATCATTGAATTATAAGAGGAACTAATAAAAAAATATTTGCACAAGAGATACTAATAAAAAAATGACTGTGGTGAATCAAAAATTTTGGCTGTTCATGAGCCTTTAATTTAATTAAGTTCGCTAAGTTATTTTATCCGTGCTCAATCGCCCTCGAATTTCTTGCAATTTTCTGTTGTAAGTCTCAAATGTTATCGCCTTTGAATCAAATAAGAATATACAGGCCAGATTTTTTATAGCACTAATATTTAAATGATATTTATTATATCAGCACTATTTATGGAGAAAAAATTGGATACATTTCTATATTATAGTGTATTTTTTATTTCTCACAAGGTATCCATGACATGCTTTTGGTGCCGCGTTGACGACAAGACGTCACCCGCCATGTAATTACAAAAGCTATCTTTTGCGTTACCGTTTACAGAACGTAGCATTACACGTACTCACGTAAACGATGATACGTGAACATCAGCCATTATCGGCTCTACCTTCTTAGCTCTAGGAGCTACAAAATTTTCTTTTATTTTAAATTTCCTTTAACAGTACATATTGCTGGCTGGTTTGAATATCATAAAGAACAACTGAACATATAAAACTTGTCGACCGGTAACATACGTATTTGCAAATTTAATACCCGGCTGTAAACATGACTCTATCCCCCCTGAAAGAGCCCATTTCTCGCATTTATCTCGTTTATTATGAACATGTATAACATACGGTATAATCAACACAATTTTGATTTCGCGTTTCAATGGGTTGAATTTGTGTACTCAATAACAATTCAACAATAGATGAGAACTAAGTGAATAATATTTCTAAACATTTTCATGTAAATTACCAAATTACCATAAGAATTCACAGAGCGAATAGTAAATTATATTTTTAACTAGAGTCCTGTTTCTCTTGCACATGTCATGGGCCGACATGTGGCTAAATATTTTCTGTAAATTAACCAGACTGAAATTTTCTGACAAAAACTCGAATCTGCCGCATAATATACGGGATGCCTTTTTTCCTTCGACTGTCGCGTACAATAATTATTCTTCCTTTAACGAGTTCTCCTTCAATTCCATATGACCTGCTGGGTTACTAAGCCCAATTCATATCTCAAACAAAATTTGATTACCATTAGATGGTGAATGAAGTCTTATATCACATAATTTCTAGAGTTATCCCTAGAACATTTCTTAGTTATAAAAAATTATTCTCTCGCTAACTAATACAGTTCTTCAACAGTGATGCTATTGTCGAGGCGAAAAAAATTGAGATGACTCTTTACACATATAATTTTTTTGCAGGGTTAGGTTTTGTATTTTACAATAATGATTCAACAACGATATTGCATTTTTAGATTTCTCTATTGCTAACTTATATAGATAGATGTAGTAAATAGTAATTTAGTTTCCACTCCTCCATTAACCCTCGAAAATAAATAAATTGCAATTGGTGGCGATAAACTTTATTTGGACAACATTGATCTAAAGTGTTGGATTGCTAAGTTGTAAGTTAATTAATTAATCGTTACTCACATCTCAAAGCGATGCAGTGGAGAAACTTATATTGTGAAGAAATTACTCGTGATGCGCCAACTCGTGTTACATATGGACTAGAATAATAAACTCGAATAGAGAGATTAGTAGTCGCCGATGAGGTCATATGGTTGTCTTTGAAAACTTGATTTGAAAACGAATTTGAAAACTTGAAGATATTCTTCGCCGTACACTGCTTCCTACGATCTTCACCCCAGTTATTACAATAGCTTATCCCTGTGGGAGAAGCGATGAAGGCTAAAAAATTGTAATTCCTTCATCACATTGCACAACTTGGATCGGGGTACATTTGACAACTGCATTCAATTTTATTCCATGAGTACATTTATTGAAGTCAGATGTTTGAGGAAATTCATCGTTCCTTCTACATCTTCTTTTATACAAGCTATATTGTCGATCACACTCACGAAGACCACAATTTTAAACGTTATTATGTCCTCACAACAATATTTTTCCTTGGTTCACTGATATTTATCCAAACCACGCCACTTACAACTCTTCCTAGAATTATTACACGTGAGACTAATCGGGCCAGCAATAAGATGCATCAATAATTGCAGTGAGGTATAGCTCAGTATTTTAGAAGGTGCTATTCAAATTATTTGAAAATTGCTTCAAAAATAATTTTGAGATTTGTTAAGGTTTATTTTATTAATTAAATAAACTCATTATTACTAATTAGTCAATATTGATTAATTTAAATAAACAACGCATTCAAAAGAAAGAATAAGGACACTCTCGCGCCCCCACAAAAAGTATGATTGAAATTGTGCATATTTTTCAAAATAAAAATTATTGTGCTCATATCCAATTGTCTAATCTCACTAATATAGTATAGCTGGATAATAAAAGTCTAATTTTAATAAAAGCCTTCATAACCTCACTGCAATCGCAAGACGTGCGATGTAGTTTGTGTCTCACGAATTGTGATCCCAATTCGGTACATAATACTGTGATAATAATAATGCATAATAGTGCATTCCATAAATGTATTCAGCTTATATAGTTAATAACACGGGTGATTTATAGGATCCGTGTCTACTAAAAAATAGCTTGATCGAATTCTTAAACATCGATCTTTTCATGGAAGGATCAGCACGTCGCGACATTTATCGGTATCATTAAAAACTATTGTGCATGTGGAGTTACTGGACATTCGACATAAATAATAAATTAATCCAGTTGATTTTATGCTGTTTAAGTGATTATCGTACGTACGCAACAACCCCAATAAAGGCATAAACTTTCATTGAGTTGTGGCAATAACTTCAGCTTGACTGGTGTCCAAAATTTAATTAAAATCACAGAATATCTTTCATTCGTAGGACACTACATAAGCTCACTACATTACTATAACCGGAGCTGCCATAGCTTTGCTACTGAGTATAATGAACACGTTTAAAGTTATAGCATTTAATTTGAGACATTTTACCATATCATACGATGCTTTCGAAAGTAAATATAGAAAATATAACTGCTTGATTTTGCGAGTCATTTTGAAAACAGGGCTGCGGGAATCGTTGATTTGGCATCATTAGTAGCAGCCTATCGAGAGTCACTAGAGTTACTAGACAATGGAATTTCACATTCAATCGCACTATGCAGAAGTTTTCTCTTCTCCAAGATAAAAAGCACAAGCAAAGAAATCGATTGACACAGATTGGCCATATGTTATTCTTAAAACTTACAATTTTGGCGATTTACATCCCATAATTTCTTGTCAAATTTCTATTGAGGTTGCTTGTGCACTTTTTTGCAGTAGCTTTGTCGTTTTCTTCTTTCGGGAATTTGATCGGCTGACTTTACCATCATTATCGGATACATCAATTGCGAATGAGTCTTCAGCAGAATGCCCAAGGGAGGACTTGGATTCTTCAATATTTTTATCATCTTCATCTGAGTGAGTTTCTTCGGAGTGTTTGGCCACTTCAATCTCTTGCATGTACCCAAAGGAACAAAGACTACGTAAGCTGCTGATCTTATTGGTGCTTAACGACGCAGTAGACGAAGCCGAATTTGGTCGCTTATCAGTGTCATCTGGCCTGTTGTTATCACTCGTCACGACGCCATCTTTGGAAGTAACCGACACCGCGTCGTCACTGAGCAGAGAAGAGTAGCTGTTTTTTGTTTCTCCTTCCCGAAGCATGGAAGAATGGATGGCCATTCCACATGTATGTTTATTTGTTGATGTCCTTGGTGTGCTTGCAGGAGTTAAAACTGAAGCATTGGAAAAACTGATGAACTCTCCCTGTTTGCTGATGGCATTTGTATCGAATGTCCGACCGACTGTTTGTTCAACATCTTGAACTGGAATTTTTTCCAGAGATTGGCATTGCTCGTCGTTACGAGATATCGTGAGTACCATGTCAGGATTCTTATCCAAATTCATCATGTAGAGAGCTATAACGTTCACAATAAAGCCCAGAACTGTCAAAATTATATCTTTAGTACCGATATTCTGCTTCGAGGAAAAAATTATGGCAGACCCAGCAATTATAAGGGTCGAGAAAATAACGTATGTGACCGACATCACGATGGAAGTGTTAAAAAGATCCAGGCTCACCTGATTGTATGCAGTCTCAATTAGAAGACAAGCAATTAAACAAAAAATTGAAACCCAAACACTCCATTCTGTAAACGCATTCACTCCTAGTATTGTAGTTTTGATCGCGATTCCGATTCCTTTACAGAACATGACTGAAAGAGAACCGTAACTGCCAACGATAAAGACGTACAGGAGCAGGTATTTTGACCCATACTTTGGCGAAATATAGATAAGGAAGGACGTTATGAGCACTATGGAGCCCGCATAAGCTAAGAACCCCGGTGATGTGAGATGGTCCTCGAACTCTTGGACGGAGGCCACCTCTTGGTCCTTAGGTCCACACAGCGTGATGATGACGCAGCCGACCAGCACCAGCAGGCACCCGAGCAGCCCAACCGTCCCGGTCTTTTCCTGAGGATTATTTTATCGTTACTCTGCATTTTAAAACAGTTATCTATATAGTATATCGCATACTAATCTTCAGTATAAATTCATTTTTGTTAATTCTTTTTGCGCGAGCTGAAATAAGTTTAATTAATAAAATCATTATGCAAAATTAGTAGCACGAGAATAATCAAAGTAATTCTAATACTCATAGTTATTTGTAATCAATCGTACCCTGTGATATATGGCAATGAATTCCACATAATAAAATATCGAAATGGATACTATATGTGATGTTTAATTCTCAGGAAATATCAGAACTTGAGGCGCAAAAAAATATATGTTCAGATTTGAAATGCCTAGCACCATATCGAAACCGCTGTAAGTCAAGTAGCAATTTCAAACTATATCGTATCGTCAGTTTTGAAAAGATCCGGTCAAATGACACGATCATAGATCTTCTGTGAACAAGTCACGAAAAGATCAATAATCGGCGACAGGCCACATCAGGCCTACTCTTTAGCGCCGACATCACTATGTTATGTTATGTTATGTTATGTTATGTTATGTTATGTTATGTTATGTTATGTTATGTTATGTTATGTTATGTTATGTTATGTTATGTCATGTTATGTTATTAAAAGCTTTCTAAAAAAAGGATTCTTCCTTCTTCGGCGCACCTTGAGAATGACAGGGGACAGTACGGTGGTCGTTACCAGAGCCATCACCCCCAGCGGCGTCACCAGAATTGCCGGTGCAAAAATCAGCGCCACGAAATTGAGCAGCTCGCCGAAGCCGAGCAAAGAAATACCCATCCACCACCGTGCCTCCTTCAGGTATCCAAAGCCGCCTTCTGACGCCCTCAGGTGCCCAGTGTCCTTCAACAGACAAATTGATTAAGTTGTAGAATTTAACAATATTCATTTGGATATGAAACTGAGTTTGGAGTTCCGGGTTGTCGGATTTTATCATACGGTGCCAATGTTTTCACATTCTGTCTAATTTTGGCATATTTTTATTAATAAATATCAGCTATGAATAAAATATAAATAATATAAGCAAAAGAGAAACCAAACAAACGAAAAGAAAGAATTCCATAATTTGGATTTAATGACGCTATTCTTATTCATCCACACATAGTCTTAATGCGAACCACCGAAACGCGCAACTTTCCTCAATCCAAAAGAAGCATTATTTTACCTGTAATCTTTTCAGGGACTGTTTTTTTAGTATAATGGAGAAGCCGTTGAGGGAGTTAGCAAAGACCGCGATGATCACCCCAATGATGGAGTTCAGCGGCATTGTCTCCACCATCACGTCTTCAGCGAGCACCGCCGTAGACAGGATACCGTCGCTGTCCAGGCTGGTGCAGTTGTGGAGACCGAGCAGAGCGAGCGTTTGGTTTTGTGTGTCATTTGACCCACTTGCAGAGTAAAGGGAGGCCATGGTTCGTGGATATAAATGCAATTTACTTGAATAAGTAACTTTTGTTGATTTTGTACACAACTTCGTGCTAATTTTATGTCATAAGCCCCCATTCAACTTTAATCATTGCTGCATTCCGTGAATGTGTCTATTTGTGAAATTGCCTAAGTATTTTATTGTATCAAACGCTCGTAGAGCTTACTCCGTCTCGTCAATAAGTTATAGGCATGTTAAGACTTCGCAAAACTCTTTTCCAACATTTTTTCCGTGATTTTTCAAGCCTTGTAGTCATGTTAGTTTATCATAGTTTGTTTTGCTGACAGAATTACACTTCGTTAGCCGAGCTTACGTGAGGACACCTCATATGCATGCGTATCCGATAGGAGAAAGTTTTCTGTGCACCTGTAAAAGAAAAAATATTGTTAAATATAACCGATTTTCTCAACTCGATTATTAGTGATCTCAATAGTACTCATAAAATTCAGTACTTAATGTTAACGCCTTTTTAGATGAAGTTTCGCAATTATTTCACGAAAATACTGCGAGCTATTTATGCACTCGAGGTTCAATTGACTACCATACATATAATTACCAATCTATGCTGTCGGGAATAAGTTAAGAGATAAGACAACTCATCCTAAAACCAACAGTGCTGACGTTTGATGAATACAGAATTGAATTTTCTTTCAGTTTTATGATTATCGTCAACAACTTTCATAATTTTCCGTGCAAAATTTCTTCTATTTTATTTTCAAAAGAATTCTAAATCATATTTTCACAACCATACATTACTTATCATCGCTTCAAGGACGGCTTTATTTTTAGAGTATCTCATGCTTGCATTCAGCTGATCGATGATAGAGGATGAACGCTTGTGTGAATAATGAATGCAATTCAACAACGAAACAGTGCTGTATGACGTCAAGAATATATTCCTGCTAACATCATCGATCCTTTCTCTTATAACAGATGAAAATAACATCATTTTTGCCTTGAAAGCGTAGATAAAATGAATAACTGCATTAACAGCGAGAATAAAAAAAGATCATGTACAAAATGACGTCAAACAATGAATTATGTAACCTGAGGCATGTAGTTCTTGCTTCAACAAACTACCAAAAATATATAAAAATTACGCATAACTCGCCTTAAACACAATCTATTGTTCAAATAAACATCAGTCTTGTGAATAACGTTGATAATGAACGCTGTGAATATCAAATTCAGGCGCCCATTCCCTATGAATGACAACCTCGAAGGCATCGCGAATTGCTTCTTGTTATGAGAAACTCCTGTCATGAGTCATTTCGTGTCTGCTAGCAGCAGTCTTATCCATAGTAAAAATATCAAAGTTATAAAAAACGCAGACCAGTGCCAATTGTTTGTCAAGTCAATCATAGATGATGCCAACATCAATCGTGAATATCGCCCGGAACCACGAAGACCATATGTCAATCATTCAGCCATCTTCATTAATAAAGGAATCGTACGTCATGCAGCAGTCTGCAGAGACAAACACGAGTGCCAATAACTGTCATGTTGCAGGATGGGGCCATTATGGTTCCGGAACCAAATTGATAACAAGTTCATCCATGCTGCGCACTGCAACACCACCGGCCTGCGCAGTCACGCAATCGCTTTCAACTGTACTGACCGCGCGGCAAATCATGTCCGATCGATCGAGCTTAACCTTTACATTTGATTGCCGTCACCAATCCAGTGTAATGACCGCCTTTGATCCTAACGCACTTCATTTGTAACTGCTGTTCCAAGAAGGTACAATTTGCTGCTTACATTAAGAAAGGTGAGAGTACAAAACTATTGACAACTCGTATGTGCGCTACTGAATTTGAATATGGCCATTGCATAAATGTAGCCTCAAGAAAGATTATGGAGGGAGGGATTTATAAATTAGGAGGATCAGTAATATAATACTATCTATAATAGTACATTCACATTGAAATTTATCAAGTAATTCCAAAGGAGCTTGCTGAAATTCTGAATTATTATCGATTTTTAAATTAAAATATTGAAGCGAATCACTCGACAATAACTACACATTGGAGCACCGAAAATAAATCTGCTCTCAAAAGAATTAAATCAGCAAAAGCATCACCGAACACATGAGTGTAGACTAAAATTACATTTACGAATTCATTTCAGCTCAATATGCTACTTAATAAGGTTAATTATAATTGAATAAAAAAATCCAACAACAAACTGAATATCTAAAATTACGTGCGAATTTCGATCAGTCGATACGACAATTCCGGCAAGCGCTGCCATTATGCTAAGTTGCAGGAACTGTGCAATGTTTCTCGTTCTAGCGTCGTAGTTCGCGCACTGTATTTACGATTACGAAGCTTCCTCTAACGATGTTTATAAATAAAGATTACACAGCAGACGTGTATGAATCCTCTTGATCAACGTTCAACTTCACTGGAAGAAAATATTTGCGGGATTTTCTTGCTTTGTCTAACTTTTTCTCCTGTCCGATCTCACAATATATGCAGATTGATCGAATTGTCAAAGCCGCGTTACATTAATTAACATTCAAAGCTGAATTAATCATTTAATGTCTTCTATGAGCAGCTGAATTAAAAATTCAATATTGAATGTACCGACGCACCTATATTCATGCAACACAATGGGCGATGTATAAATAGACCTAAACATAACAAATAATGATTAAATTTGTATATAACCCATTTTATTAGCTTCAAAGTTTGCTACTTTAAATAGAACGCAATCAATTTAATGCATCAAGAGTTTTAAATATTTAATTGAACAAGCATTTCAGTCATATAGTTTAATTACCATATAATTGGAGACATTTTAAGTGAAAAAATATAAGTAGCAAATTCAACTCTTACCCCTCAGTTGTTACGTGGTATTCTCAGCAGCGCCATCGAACTAAAACATTTTTAAACCTTTCACGCTTAGGAAACGCCAATAACTGCCGATAGTTGTTCATAATTAAGTGCGTTAAATTACGCGGCGCTTTTGAGCTGCAAACTGCCTGGTCTACAACAGTTACCGTTGCACAATACAGGTGCATGGTTGTTAAGCGTTTGCATGGGCGCGGGTCATCACTTCTCGTTCTTCCTAACCATGCAGCAATTTCGGGCATTATCCATAGTCAAGCAAAATGAACAACATTGAAAAAAGGGATAACGATTTAGAAATATAATTGTTTCATTATGACAGCATAGAATACGCTTCGTCGTAGGGTTTTCGATGGAAAAAGTTTCCGAAAATCTTTTGCATTATTATAATCTCACGTTCCTGTTGACCTATTCAATAGCTCATTCATGAAACAACTTCTCGAAAAAGCAACGGCCAAAGAAACTTAAACAAAACTTGAGGGACATTTTTAAGTGCACAATTTACTGTATTGCTGAAAATAAGATCACAGATAACTGCTTAGAATCTCAAATCAAAGAGCACAAGAGCCCAAAATAACTCCAGCGGAAGGTCTGATTCTTCTAATGTTGATGAGGGAAGTCTGTAAGCGGTCGTCTTTTGTTCAACCGGAATTGGCAGAACTATTTATAACTGCTCACAATTGCCTTGCTCCTTTGCCGCAGTAAAGGACTTGGCATTTTGCGTCGGATCCGCGTAAAAAGTAATAACCTTTGTGAGAAATAGAACGAAATTCAACTTGCATACCCTTCCGCTGCACTGAGCTTCGTTATAAAAGTTAGAAGTGACGTGAGTCTTTGAAAACCGAAAGTAATGTTAGTAAAAATAGGTTTGTGTCTTGTTGATGTAAGGATTCTCATTTCAGTGCCGTCGATTGACTAAGAATTATTTATATCCCACAAAACAATCGTTCATTCGTATAGTCTATATAATAAGTATGCGAGTATATACTGTATAAGTCAGAATTTAAAAACGAACCTTTGATATTTGGCTTTCAGGTTAAAACCAGCACTCATTTAAAAGCCTGACAATTCTTTAAAGTTCCAAGTTACAGATGGTTTTCCGGGATTCCTCATAACCTAATAATAGAGCCTGCCATTGGTGATGACAAATTAAATTTAAATGAAGAATTCGGTTGAATTTCGTTGAAAAATAATAATTTCGTGCGTATGTTATGCGAACGCTCATGCATGACATTGGAGTCATTTAAATGAATCCAACTTGAGACGCTGAATGAGGTGCAGCCGCGTTATTTGTCTTACCATTCAAAGCTAAATAATCACAAAAATTTAAACTTCAAACTTGAATTGAATGCATAGCCGGAACCACATTCATAAAACACTATCATGAACTGTCTATTAGGCATCTTCATGCCACTAATCAAGTCATGCGAGGCAACATTAATATCAAATATGTATTAAGACATGTTCAATTTTTTAAGCAGCACTAATTTGAACAATGTATTAAGGAACGTTCATGCACCACTATTATAAATAGTGTATCAGGTAATCTTCGTTCAGCACTATTATAAACTCTGTAATAACTCATGTTGAAAATTTGTCTGCCGTATTCCCAATTATTGATTGGAGTGTTTTTTTTTTCTGACCACATCAAGCAGGCAATTTACATGTTAATGCATCTTCTTCATAGCTACACATTCAAAATTAATTAAGAGAATAAACGCCTCTCGAATGAGAAGAAATGTTTTTTATCCAGGGTCATATTATGATGGTCAGTCGAGGAAGTGACTACACGCACAATCTGTCGCATGTGAGAGCGTGACGCTCATTACGATACGCAGCGCCTTGACGGGGGCCCGACAAACGTGCGTACGCATCGCTTACGCACGCGCGTGAAATTAATCATCAACTTTCAACTACGCCAGCGTTTCATGTTTGGTTTAGCGTTTGTGTTTGGTGCTGTGTTCCCAGTTAGGCCCGGCGTTCATGTTTGGCCCAGCGTTCATGTTTGGCCCGGCGTTCGTGTTTGGTCCAGCGTTCATGTTTGGTACAGCGTTCGTGTTTGGTCCAGCGTTCGTGTTTGGCCCAGCGTTCGTGTTTGGCCCAGCGTTCATGTTTGGTACAGCGTTCGTGTTTGGTCCAGCGTTCGTGTTTGGCCCAGCGTTCGAGTTTGGTCCATGCGGCGTTCATGTTTGGTCCAGCGTTTATGTTAGGTCCAGCGTTCATGTTAGGTCCAGCGTTCATGTTAGGTCCAGCGTTCATGTTTGGTCGTGCGTTCATGTATGGTCCAGCGTTCGAGTTTGGCTCAGAGTTCCTCTTTTGGCCCGGCGTTCAGTTCGGTCCAGCTTCGTATTTGATTCAGCGTTCGTGTTTGGTTTTTTGTTTAGTTCGTGCTTGGTTTTGGTGCTCGTTGTACGTGTTTGGTCTTTGGTTCGAATTTGAATCAGGCAGGAACGTTTGAGGCGTTGCTCTGTAAATGCTTGATTGAATGAAGCTCTCGTTCAAGAGAGATATCGCATTCGATCAATGCCTGCTACAATATTCCGATCAGCACTACAGTACGAAGCTTTCAGAAAAGTTTGAGAGAACATACTCAATTTGAATGACGCGTTTTAAATGTGAGTCCAAACAAAAGTACTTGGTTGATTTGTGAGAAATAATATATTATCACGAATAATATTTGTAAGTAGCAAAATAATATTTTATGAATAAATGTCTTACTCGCTAAGAATATTTCCGGTTACGTATATACTTTTTGTTTCTGTTTTCATTGCTCAATCAACAAAGTTATTACTCTGAGAATACATTTTTCATCTCGACCGCTATTGATAACTTTATCATGAAAGAAATCGACCGATAGGATAAGATAAGATATATTTCTATTGCGTGGAATATGAATCATGCGTGGTGGCTGCCCAAACGAGCATGTTATACGCACTAACACATTCTTATATACCTGAAAGTGACATCGTTGCAAGTAAATTCAGTTAATAGTCCCGCACAATCAGCAATAAAATCAAGTCAGGAATTGGGTATCACTTCCTCCCGTGCGTGTTCAAAACTCATTCTATTTCAGGTGTTGGAATTGAAAAGATTTAATATTTTTCTTATCAGCACCTCGATGAGAAAGTTTCAAGCCACCGGGTTCATATATAAAGTTAACAAATCGCTTTTCCTGATAATTACAGACACTCGAAGATAGCGTGAAGAGAATTCAGCAGAATAATCATCGGAAGACTATTAACGATAGAAACACCTCCTCTATCGAATCCCAACTTCATCGTTCAGTCATTAAGTGACAAGATAAAGAAACACGTCAGTGAGCAATGCAATGTATTGCTAAACGAACTAATTTTACAATGTTAATCTGATAAAATGAAAAATATCATACGATTACAGTAGTCGATTGAGAAAGTAATGATAGAGTTACGATGCTTTTATCGTGGCTCTCAACTGCGGTAAAAGCGTTCGATTCGTTTACAAGCACAAAGCGATGCCGCTGTGTCCATTAAGACCGTAAAATTTTAACTGGTAGCATAATTGCGTTGTTTTATGAAAATATCTCGGATTGAAAAAATTGCAAAGTGACTCTATTTATACTATTGCCGTAATATCTGTTTTTTTTTCTCGTAGGTTCAGAGGCAAATGTGAAAGTTTAGATAGAGAGAGAAAAAAGTTTATGTAATTTCACTCGAATCAGAAACACTTCCGAGAAACCGGCCTCGAAGAAGGAAAGTCAATTGGTCATGCGGTTGCCTAGGCGACAAGCATTGATATTCCATGCAATGAAGTTCCTGTCTCTACCAAATGAAATTCAAATTCTTTTATTTCTGCTCAACAAAGCATTTATCGCAACTCTCAAGCCCGATGCCCAACTAAGCATGGTTCTAAAAGATCTCTAGACTCAACGTTTTTGCTTTATTATTTTATTTTTTCATGCCGAGTTCCAAAATCAGTTAATGATGTGGACAGATTTCATCGTATTTTAGGATAAATTCGAGATGATTTCTTTCATTGATGCATTTATATCTCTTAGTTCGATTATTTATGGTAGGGAATGGTAGGGAAGGGTAGGGAAGGGTAGGGAAGGGTTCCCTTAATTTAAAAAGGGTACGTTTGCAAACAGAGCATTGAACGCGATCTCTAATATTATAATATATTACAGTATTTTCCTAGGAGCTCGCCCGTTCAACAGGTTGACTTTTCATCAAAACCCTCTTGTAAAAACACTGCTGTTTCGCCGCACTTCTGAGGTAAATACGATTGGTGTGCACCACTGCACCAGAGTGGTAAAATGGTTGACAACCTTAAATAGTTTCGTCGTAATTTGTGCTGTATGGGAATTTATGCTGTGAATTTGCCTTACTTTCTTTCGGACATTGTTTACAGACTTCATTTACTCACACAAAAAAAAATGAATGCGAAAATTCTCACGAAGACAGTAAAAATATTAACTTTCAATTCGTTCTCACAATGTCGTCATCACCTCTTCTTTATACTTAAACAATTTGTTAGTAGCGAATTACCCATGTACATGTATATGAACAGATAATATTTACTAATCATTATGCATGTGAACGCGAGTGGGGCATTGATTGAGTTTTGGAGGATAAAGTCGGAAATCTTCTTCAGTTAACAAGTGGTTTTGCTAACCCGCGTGTACCTTCAGTATTTACTTGATCGGTATTTAGTACATCTTTAGAAATCAGGACAGACACTCAAGTCTTGAGAGAGCACATCGATAGAGCTACTCCTTTATTGAAGTAAATTGAACAGATTACACAAATGAGCTAATTAAAGCATAAAAAACTCTACACTTACCTGAAGCTAAGTTAGTTTATTTTCGAGAACTTTACGAGCAATGGCGTTGGTTTTGCGTACAGTTTGCGGTTCTAGTAGCTTCTATGAAGCGTGGCGCTAGCGTGGCAGCAGTGACAGAGTCTTGCACCGTATACGTGATACGGACGCCTCCAGCGCAACACTGACGAGTGACCTGGCCCGCTAGAGCAGCCGACCTCGTCAAGAGGCGCGAGAACGAGACATCGACCGCGCCAACGGAAGGTGTTCAGATCGCGCTACCTGTCTTCCTGAGCAGTACTTTTGTGCGATGACTTGTCCTACTTCAAGAGAGTCTGTTTTGTGACACAAGACTATGAGGGTGGAAATTGTGTGACCTTACTTCACATTAATCGTTTTTCGTTTTATAAGGTTTGTTCACATTTTAGAAGCAGAGACGCATTGATAACGGCTGTATCTAAGCGATATTATAAATTCAAAATACACCGAAAACCCACTGTCCTACTATTATTCATATGTTAAACAAATCCATCCAATCTCCGATGTACATAATGGATCTTCATTAATCGTACAACGTACGATCATCATCAGAGTATGCGAAAATTTATTTAAATGATAATGAAAACGTACTCAAATTTGTGCTAAAAATGTCTTTAAACGAAGAAAAGATTATCACGTAAAATTGCGGTAGGAAGAATCGTCGCCAGTGAATCATCATGTATGGCTGCAGCAGAAATGTGCATATGTGCATATTATGTGATATCAAATATGTATGCTCTGTGAGTTTCCCTTACATTGAAGAAATAAAGTTTGTGATTTAATTCAACCAGCACACGCCGGAACATGGAACCTAATGCGTAGTACTCAAATTTTAAATCGATAATTTTCTTAAATCCCACAGGAACAAATTATCTATCAATGATTTTCTTTTAAATATGGATTTAAAATCATCATATAAGATTGAAAAAATTACCGGCACAAATGCAAGCATTGGGCGTGACGTTCTTCCTGGAATTATAGAACTGCCCGGCTCGTCCAGTGTGCTGGGCTCTTCCTGGAATTATAGAACAGCCCAGCTCGTCCAGTGTGCTGGGCTCTTCCTGGAATTATAGAGCAGCCCAGCTCGTCCAGTGTGCTGGGCTCTTCCTGGAATTATAGAGCAGCCCAGCTCGTCCAGTGAGCTGGGCATGTTTCCAGGCACCCGTGAGCCTAATGCTGCTGGTCGCTGGAGATGGGCAGGCAGGAGTGATCAATAAGGGCAGGTAGGCTCTGATGTGCCGCACTGCGGGCCATAGGGCAAGCAACAAGAGAATATAGAAGAGAAAATTTATTTTAAACACTTCGATCAGTAGATAAAAAATTATTTGTTCTCCAATGAAAGTTGATCTCTGAATTCTGCCGGCTGAATTTTATTTTGACTGCTTCGATCAGTAGATAAAAATTATTTGTTCTCAACTGGAAGATGATCTCTGAATTTTGGCCGCTGAATTTTATTATTACCACTTCGATCAGTATATTAAGAATTATTTATTCTCTAATGAAAGATGATCTCTGAATTCAGCCAGCTGATTTTTATTTTTACCACTTTGATCAGTATATAAAAAATTATTTATTCTCTAATGAAAGTTGATCTCTGAATTCTGCCATCTATTTTTACGCCTAGGAACGGATGTCAGAAACGGATAAGTTTGCATTAGAGTTTTTTGAGGTGCAATCGAAATTTCCCTCTAAAAGGAAAAATTAATTCTTGTTAAAAGTTGCGTTATTCGCTTAAGAGAAAACATCCAATTACGGTTTGAATGAAGTGAATGATAAAACTTTGTTGCGTGAATAGAGTTCAGGGCAGGAAACTATGAAATTAAACTATAATTAAGTAAATTTATGGCGAAAAAAACTCGATAAAAGTTGGTATTGTACTCAATTACACTCAAAAAAGTTCTGTTTGTTGATTAAAAGGATCATCGGATTTTTAATGCAGTCATCTGTTTTTTACAAAATCATCTACAATTATATCAATGGGGATTTACGAAACTAATGGCTTCCCACGTACTATTCTTGGGGAAAATATCTGGCTACTTTTTAAGCTTTAAACGTTAAATGCATCGGGAGAACGAAAATTGGTTAAATTATGCATCAATATTTTACATGTTTTCTTTCCACGAAGTAAAATGAATCCAGTAAACTGTATTCGTTAGTAATTCTATAACGTAAATAAAATTACGTTATAGGGCAGGGTGGCCCAGTGGTTAAAGTTCAGAGTACCAAGATTGGCGCAGAGAGGTGCGGGTTCGATCCCAGCTTTGTGCGCCAGTTTCCGGTCATAATCGGCGAGGAGGCCGGGCGGTTAAGCAAAAGCAAAATTTGAAGCAGTGAGTTGCGAGTTCGAGACCGCAACAAGCTGTGAATGTTCTGCGATGTTAAGAATCGGCGACAGGCCTACGGCCTAATAAACGCTGAAACCGCTATTTATTTATTTATTTTATTTAAATTCTTCAAATAAACTTCCGAACAAATCAACTGGTGGATCGGGTGACATATTGCGAGACAAAAAGATAGAGAGGGAGAAAAGGTGAAATTCTCAGCAGTGCTACGCCAGTTTCCAGAGGCTGTAATTACAGAGACATTACGTCGGCTGATCTATCGTATTGTTCTCTGTGAAGAGAGAGGCTAGAGTATCTTTACTGCCAATTAATATGGCCAAGTAGGACACATCTCAAATGAGGGTGGCGGGCGTGAAGACGTTATGTTGGTAGGACTCGCATGTCAATACGAAGGACAAATGCCTGTGTAAACTTCGCTTCAAAACACTGCGCTAATAAGTTCGTATGCGTTTTGAATCACATCCAGAGGTAAAATACATTAATTTATAGAAAAGATGAAGTTAGAAATGTTAATAACCTAATTGCGATTATTTTAGCACCTACAATCAGCACTCGATACGACGGAAAATTACTCGGGGCAAAGAATAACGGGAATCGGGTCAGTGAAATGTGAGGCTTCGCATGCCACTCCTTCCGCTATTTCGAAAGACTAATTAAATTCATCTTTATAAATTACTGACACTGTTAATTATCGAATCGTGATTATATCACGCCAGAATTTCTTGTGCATGTCGTTTTTCTTCCGGAATACATATGTCGTGCCGATAATCACGGAATAGCCGATTCTTTGAAATCGGTAGCCAGTTTGCCGAACCTGTATAATCAGCATTTCTATACTATATGAATCTGGGGTTAGGTCAGTCAGCCAAGTTCTTTTTTTATATCAAAATATAAAGGAACGAATGGCAAATGTTTTGCTACTTGAATAAAGCGAACTTTGTTTTTTTTAGAACTTATCACACTTAGAACTTATCACAAGCTATGCAGGAGCATATGTTCAGTCTTAAAATGCCTAGCAAATTACGGAGCAGGCAATAATTAAGTCCAGCAGCTATCTCAATCAATCGTCAGTTATGGAAAGATCGGGTTCCAAAGGCCGGATCCCTTTGTTGGGTAAGATTTGAGGTAAATGGTTGTGGTGACCTATGATTTAAGCTGTTTATGGAAAATGGCGCCATGCGCTCGGTTATGTTACTACTGTCAACCAAATGAAATTATTGATGTCGGTAACCTCGCTACAGCATTCAAGTTGCAGGTCTTCAATAGAAATGATCTATTTCATAAACAAAACTGAACCGCATCTCTCTGTAGCGATCAAATAGCTTTGTAGTTTTTATGTGGTAATCGATCTCTATAAATCGTAGTTCTGACCAGTATTGTAAGGATTTCAATGAAAACGGCCGATGTGAATTCAGTATCTGCTGAATAGCGACTTATATGTCAAAACGGTAGTTGCGCTCACGATTAACGTTATCAACGGGAGTAATACTGCAAAGTCTTCAATCAACCATACTTATATGGTTTTACGTTTGGTATACTGCATTCAACTTATACTGCTGCCGTATGCCCAGTTAACTCGATTGATTCAGCTTTGTTTATTGCACAAGACTACGAATAACGCGCTAGCACAGCCTGTGATCTTTGGAATCTGCCCACAATATTTTAAGAATTGGTGAGGTGTTCATAAAGAGAAATTTATGCCCGCTGCACAATGACATGTTCACATCAGGATAAGATGATAGAAATGCAAAGTATTGCAACATATTTCTTTAGCTATAATTCTTTTGCAATTATCTTCTTTAGCTGTTTGAGCCAAGAAGAAATTTTTAAATCATTGGTAATGGTAATGTTCTGTCGTTTCCACCGTAATGGACTTGGTATGAAATTTCGTCTTTTCATATTATGCTTTTCTAATTAGATGCATTGGCATTACACCGGGATTTTTTAATTGGGTACATATATGACTTTAATTATTTGGCTCGATTTTCTACGATCCTTTCTGTATAACTTCCTGACTTTTGTTATGCCTAAGTTTTGATTACTTAGATGAAGCGCCACAATGTTATTCCTTATTTGTTCAATGAAACGTAAGATATAGAGATGAATTTAATTAATATATTTTTTAGCAATCTAAAATATTAATCTAAGAAGTTTCCAGGCAACAGTGGAATCGCGCTTCCATAATCATAATTGAAAGAAATAAGAAAAAACTCATGGCTAACTGTTTGATAACAAAAGATTAACTGCCACACGAGAAAGTACTAAAGAACCGCCGTAGTTAATGAAATTCATAGAAACGCAACTGATCAAAGTATGGACTGAGTTGAAAAAACTCACAAACTATAATTACGTATAAAACACATAACTGCATCTGCATTAAATTTAAATGACCTTGTACTTTAGAAAGTATAGCTGTCATTCATTACCCCAATTCGCACTCATACGTGTAGGTGGCAACAGGGAGGAAAATGTCTCCATCACGACGCTATGGAACGAGTTCAGTTACTTTCTAGATCACACTAAAACAGTGACTAACTAACGGCAACTTCACTCAACAGCAAATCAGATTCGATTTTATCGTTCGAGCGTTTCGTTAAAGGAGCTGGCACCGAGCTGCTTAATCGTGTTGATATAAAAGTATAAAAGCAGCTTTATCGTTCGATCGTGACTCTTATAAGAGCTGCTTTATTGTGCGATCGTGTCGATATAAGAGCTGCGTTATCGCGCGATCGTGTCGGTATAAGAGCTGTGCTGCAGCAGGGAGCGGTACAGACGTCATTTGTTTCCAAACTCGATGTGCAGGCGAAAATAAAGAATTCATGGAAACCTTCAAAAGCTTTATTGGCAATCGTTTGGTCATTGGAGGAACAGAATCAGTTGCTGACATGAGAGAATGAACGTAAAATCTCGAGTTCACAAATTCATGCGCCGCGAATTTTTATCAATAAGCCGATTCATGTGCAGGCGATTCAAGTAAACAAAAGATAAAAAATTTATAACGAAATAACATCCTTGAGTTTTGCAAGCAGTGTGAGATTTACGGATTCAAGTTTAGGTTCTTGATTGCCATTTTGGGTAGTAAAATTTGCCTCATTTCTTTTGAAGCTGCACTACCGGTAATTGCTGTATGAGGAACACAAACATAAATCGATACGAATACGATTGAAATAATTGTTTTAATAACAACATGCCATGCCGGTTAACATACGAACAAAATGATGAACATCACAGTCAAAAGCTTTGCACTGTAAATCCAACCTAAGAGCACGATGCATGAAATAATTATAAAGCTTTATTCTTTAACACTTGTAGACTCCGCTAAATGGTGAAATTTGTATCTTCTTTGTTGTTGATTGAAAACTAAGCTTGCTAACTAAGCATGCGAACAAAAAACTTCGGAAAGACGGCCCACGGATGCATGTACAGAAGAAACAGGAATCGAAAGAATTACACGCTGGACGCCATGAACAGAACATGGTCTGAACAGTAACAGAGCACAGCGTTTGATTGTTCCTACGGTTTTCTTTTGTTCCGTATACGTGAACATTTAGTGTATCCAATCATTTGAGCAACGAAAGCTCTTCAGAAGCTGCTGCTGTATTCGTTTTTTTTTAGCTCAGCTACAATACAATACAATATCTTATAGTTATACGCTATACACTACTGTATAGCGTATAAGATATCCGTATAGCGTATAAGATTACAATTTTATAGGCAAATTCCATCAGAAGATTTTAGACAAACGTCCAGAAAAATGATAGCTTGTATATTTTATCGGCGTCGAATTAGGAGCAATGGTTGGCAGCTGCTAACTCGATGAGATGAATTCTTCACTGATGAGTGCGATGGAATTTCAATATGTGTGGAAAAAAAGTTTAGGATAACAAATCTACTTCAATATGGGTGGAAAAAAAGTTTAGGATAACAAATCTACTTCAATATGGGTGGAAAAAAAGTTTAGGATAACAAATCTACTTCAACATGGGTGGAAAAAAAGTTTAGGATAACAAATCTACACATGAGATAACGAAGACCGTAGAAAAAGTTTAGAACCACTAATGATTGTACAATTGTAAGTTCTGTCTCTCCAGTGCTGTAGCCTAGGCATTATATGCCAAAAATCAATTCAATGGCTTGAAAGAAAATCATTGATTCAGAGGCACAAAAATTTTCTTTTCTCAGCTGATACTAGCGGTATTCAAGATACACATTGAAGTTTGTCGGTTTGCACTGAACGTCAACTCCTAACTAATTGGCCTCTCAACTTTCTGGAACATCCAGGAACAGTTTTCACCAATCCTTCTCTATACCTCAATAAGCACACATTTTGAGCGTCAACACGAATCGCACATTAAAACAGTTTAATCATATGATCAATTTAATACGTATGCTGCTAAAATTTACAGTCTATGAGCTTTGAAGCAGGTGAAAATGGAATATGGACACCTACATAAGATTAGTAACTGTTGACAAAGTCCCATTAAATATTCTCAAAAAAATGTATTTCTCATCGTCGCGTGATGGGGGCATTTTGGCGGTCCGTCACAGGTGTCGGATACACTGGATGCAAATCGCCCACTCACAATTGTCATTAAGCGAAATATAGTCAAAAACCTGTGACAAAGTCATAAAAATAACGAAATAATAACAACTATATTAAACATTACATTCTTACCATTATAAGAATAAAAATAATTCGAAAACCACGGAAGATGATTCAAATAGTTTGAAAACTTGATTGTAATGTTAGACAAGAAATTTTGACAGTTTTAACGTTAAAATATACAGTAATAAAATAAAATAGTAAATAAAATGCAATACACAATTTAACGTCGTTAAACTGTAAATTGCATGCCATATAACACGCACGGAGCAATGGAGTTCCGAACTCGTCGTTCGAGCTCAGAATGTTAATTAAAAACTTCATTCACAGAAACCATACAAAATGCCAATACTCCGGAATCCTGACTTCATTAGATCTTCTTCTTCCTCATACCGTGAACATCGTACAAAATACATTATTTTGTAAGCCAATTAGAGCTCGTAAGATTGGTATATCAATGGAGAATACGCACCAACATTTTAACGATGTTTTAATGACTCCTAGCAGAAAATATACTGGTTATTTAGTTGTGTTTTAGAAAAAAATTCTCTAACCAGCGTTTGCGAGAGGCTAAAACGCCACCTATAGCTCGCAGTTTGTTCAATTGGAACGAGTTGGATCTTTCATGGACATTTAATTTTTGAAATGTATAAAAAAGTACGCAATATGCTACGAGACCACCGCACTAATGAATGCACCCGTCTCTCCTGATACGCGGCATGATCGATGACAAAGCTGCCTCAAAATCAATTTAAGAAAAACTATTCTCGATCACAACTCAAAAGACAAAAAGTAACGATAAACTGAGACGATGAAAACTATTTATTACGAAGAATACTGATAATCAAAAGGAAACGCTACAAGACTTATTCGTATGTGCACCCTTGAAGACTGCGTTCAAAACCTAACTCTCGTTTGCTGGGTCGAAGCTACATACCTAATCGAACACATTGAAGTCGAAGAACGATATCATCATACATAAAGATTTACTCAAAAAGGTTCAGCAGAAAACCTATTTGCATTGAATGCTCTCCACAGTATTTCTCACTATCAAGACGAAAGATATAATGTATATAAAGATCTTATTAGATGCAAAGTATTCGGGGCACTTCTTAGTTTTTAACGCACGGTATATAATATATATATAGGTAAGTTAATTCAAAGTCACGGAAGATTTCAGTACCGCCACCCCGCTACAAAATCGTTGAGCAATGCTCGAGATCAAAGTAAAGCAAACCTTTGAAATATTTTCAAAAGTTCTCACCCGTTTAACCTACATTTTGAACCTATCGACTCGAGTTGAAAGTTAAGAAAATTTCACTCTCTCAAGGCGGCTTTGTAGTGGCAGTAAGAAATGAAAAATATTTTAATTTTCGCAGAGTTATTTAGGGCAAATAATAGTCGGGGTAGGAAGGGAAGTGAGTATTACACATCGAGAGCTCGGCGATCACAGTTAGGAAAACAAGTAACCAGGCTTGGCACGCACGGCGCTGGAGTCTTATGCGCCATGCTTATGCGAAAGAAAGTAAGGACGGCGAGACGAAGATGCAACTTATAATTTTCATTTCAACTGAGGCATGATAAGCTCTCATAAGAAAAACTGACTGAGCATTTAACTCAGATGAAAAACTTCTTCTGAACATCTTTACTTCCAAATTTCCTGAAAGCATGCAATAATTTGAATGAAAGTTCATCGAATGCCTGCTTTCCGTATAGAACTAAACAGCAACATTTACGAAGCCTTAAACGCATCTAAAAATAGGTCATCATTCACACTGGCCATCATGCAAGTCCAAAATTGTGAAAATGTAATCATTCACTCAGACATATAAAGACTTAAAACAATATAAATATTCTCCAGTCAGATGGATGTCATATCATCCGAATTAAATTAAAATAGAGAGAATCGCATTGAACCGTTGAATCTGTATAAATACATAAACAGGAAATTTTTAAATTACAGAAGCATATAAAATGTGGTCTTGTAGACGCAATGTAAACAATATTTCCTAAGCAAGGCATATATTAACAGATAAGCGTAATTCCGTCATCCAGTCTTCTTTATTGACGAATAAGTTTCAAAGCGTTGCTTGTTTGTCCCAAAATTTCGACCATGAAATTTCTTTTTAGGCATACAGGACGTAATAGAGTTGAAGTTTATTAAATAAATTCAAATATTAGAAAATCCTCTCATTGTTTTTAAACTCAAAATGAAATAGAAACGAACAATCAGCGAAGTAGATTTCCCGGACTAATACAGACTCGTGAAGTTATTCATAGAAACTGATTTCGTCGAGCGGTCTCTTGCAAGGTTCTCTAGTTATTACAGAGAGCACATGGAAGGTTTGAAGTTCGTTTCCCACTGCAACTGATGTTAGGCCACTTGCTGGAGCGTCAGTTCATGGAGGGTTTGAAGTTTGCTTCCCACTGCAGCTCGATGTTAGGCCACTTGCTGGAGCGTCAGTTCATGGAGGGTTTGAAGTTTGCTTCCCACTGCAGCTCGATGTTAGGCCACTTGCTAGAGCGTCAGTTAATGGAGGGTTTGAAGTTTGCTTCCCACTGCAACTCGATGTTAGGCCACTTGCTAGAGCGTCAGTTCATGGAGGGTTTGAAGTTTGCTTCCCACTGCAGCTCGATGTTAGGCCACTTGCTGGACAAACACGCTGTCAGATCATGTAGCGAGTCGAAAGGCACGAGCGTCTCTTGGCGAGTCACGTAGCCTTTGGCGTATTGTACCTGTAGCAGCAGAAGCAGAGAAACCAGTTCAATATTTGTAGCCTTAAATACTATATACGAGTAATTTAATATAAAACCGAAAATAATTTAAAAATGCCTAGAAAAATATATCTTTTCGGATTTCAATATACAGAGCCTGAGTCAAAACATTTATATAGGGGACCGTATGTAGCGATAATTAGATGTCCTTATATGGCCTTTTATCAAATCATAAACCATGTAGACATAAATTAAATGCACATATTAATTCTATCGATACGTCCAAGAAGCAAATCATTAGATATTTGAAGAACAAGAATTATATTAATGACGAATTATTCCAATTTTATGTCTTAATATATAATCGTGGATCGTAATATATAACAAGAATTATAAATTAAGATCCACGTAAACCAAATATTATTATCCATCACTGAAGAAATGTACACTAGGAGCCTCACTTTCTTGTCAGGATTGGAAGCTGGCAGGCCGTTGTAGTGGAATAATGTGAAGGTGTCAGGCGGAGGATGCAGCTCTTGGCCACTAAAAAATGCATCCTGGAATTTGTGATATAAAATGACGCCCATATTATCAGGATCAAGTTCTTGACACATGAATTTGATGAACTGCTCGTCGGTACAGAGGCCCAGATGCTGCAGCACAGGTAGCAGCTGGTCGCGTTGTATGAAGTTGTTGCCCTCGGTGTCGTACCAACTGAACACTTGCTGGCCGCGCTCCACGTCAGAAGAAGGGCACACCAGCTCCCGCTGCAGCGAAAACACCACTGCACAGGTGTTGGTGGTGTTACTGAGAGAACAACACTGCACAGGTGTTGGTGGTGTTACTGAGAGAACATCACTGCACAGGTGTTTGTGGTGATACTGAGAGAACACCACTGCACAGGTGTTGGTAGTGTTACTGAGAGAACATACACACACAACTCGCGTAACTACACCGGAACTCGCGATCGGGAATCAGAACGCTCATAGGATGCGTCTGCAATCAATATTTGGATGACTGTTGATACCACGTAGTAAATACCTCTCAAAAAATACTATCGTTCATAGCCAGGTCCGGCGATCCATCTATGTTCTATCTCTCTTATAAGGTAAATATAACCTGAAACATATTTTGTAAATCGGCGGTCAGGTTCGATGCTGAAGGACGTAAGCAAAGTGTTCCAACTCGGTCAAAAAGTTAGTGGCATTCAAACTGGTCGTACCTGTGATGTGATGCTGGGACGCGCACAGCCACACGGGATGCAGTGGATTCTTGAGGTACCAGCCCACTTTAAGCTGCCGATAGTGCTCCTGCAGGTGGAGGAGGCCAACGCTAGGGCGGCGCCAAACACCCAGCAGCTCTGAAACAACGGGAACGGTTATAAGCCAAACACCCAGCAGCTCTGCAAAACCGGGAATGGTTATAAGCCAAATACCCAGCAGCTCTGCAAAACCGGGAACGGTTATAAGCCAAACACCCAGCAGCTCTGCAAAACCGGGAACGGTTATAAGCCAAACACCTAGCAGCTTTGAAATCCCAGGAAAGGTTATAAGCCCAGCAGCTCTGAAATAAAGGGAACGGTTATAAGCCAAATACCCAGCAGCTCTGCAATAATATATGTAGTTGTTGTAGATGTTTGTAGTTGTGCTCTGTTTTACTAAGTGTAATTTTGACATTGCCTCTTTTATGGTGATTTTTCTACTATGACATACGGTTATCAGTTTTTAAGGCTTTTGTCAATGGTTCTGATTATTTTAGAAATTTGTTACTTATTTGTTCTAATTGTCGTCTTGTAATCATTGGAATTGAGTTTTGTACCTATTGTTTTGCCTGCGAAGCTTTTTTAGCTTATATGAGCATTCACCTGGAAGCCTTGCTATTTTACTTCACGTTTCTTTATATTTTTCATTGTAACGTGTGCTCCTGTGTGAATAAATAAATAAATCAAATCAAACAGGAACGGTTATAAGCCAAACACCCAGCAGCTCTGAAATAACGGGAACAGTTATAAGCCAAACACCCAGCAGCTCTGAAATAACGGGAACGTTTATAAGCCAAACACCCAGCAACTCTGAAATAACGGGAACGGTTATAAGCCAACTACTACACAGCCAACTACAACACAGATAATGATTAAGCTTATCCCATTCGTAGCTCTTGGTAGCCCTAAGTACAGTCAATGATATAAGTGAATCATTTTTTAAAATGATCGTTGGTCATCACACCGCTTGATGAATAATTGCAAGAAAATGGGTAACACCTTTTGATAAAAGAAATTCTATTCCTTAACTTTGCACAAGAGACAATAATACAAATATTCTTAAATAGCGAATCAAACTAGACGCACATCTGTACAACTTTTTTCACAAATAGAACCTGGGAAAAAATTGAATGACTCTCAAACACACTTCGACCGGTGACCCATCATTCGCTCGGTGCAACTTTAACCGAGCAAACATGCCATGCAAACAACACAGACTCAGCCCACTGGAAACCAATGTCATGTCCATCGCTCGGTGCAACTCTAGCCCTGACGCGAACATGCCATAAGAACAACACAGACTCCGGCGACTGTCGACCAATGACATGTCCATCGCTCGGTGCAACTCTAACCCTGACTTGAACATGCCATGAGAACAACACAGACTCAGGCCACTGTCGACCAATGTCATGTCCATCGCTCGGTGCAACTCTAACCCTGACCCGAACATGCCATGAGAACAACACAGACTCAGGCGACTGTCGACCAAAGTCATGTCCATCGCTCGGTGCAACTCTAACCCTGACGCGAACATGCCATGAGAACAACACAGACTCATGCGACTGTCGACCAATGTCATGTCCATCGCTCGGTGCAACTCTAGCCCTGACTCGAACATGCCATGAGAACAACACAGACTCAGGCCTCTGTAAACCAACGCCATTTCCATCGCTCGGTGCAACTCTAACCCTGATGCGAACATGCCATGAGAACAACACACATTCAGGCCACTGTAAACCAACGCCATTTCCATCGCTCGGTGCAACTCTAACCCTGACTTGAACATGCCATGAGAACAACACAGACTCATGCCACCAAGGTCGCGCGCCCCGTCGAAGACGTGAGACGACGGCGTGCCTGTGATGAGGAGGTTCAGGAGCGACTGCTCGCCATGGGCCTCCTCGCCGCTTATGAGAGGCTCGCTCTCGCCAAAACACGCGCTGCCCTTAGCCACTCCCTGCAATACAAAGAACACGCGTTGCTCACATGTTTCATTTGTAACTTCATGATTAGTTTTTTTCTATTGATGTAAACTAAATTTACCGGGCCATCAAACAAAATGATAGTTAATATTCAGGGAAATAGCATGCACAAATAGTTACCTATGAGATTACCAAAAGAATATCATTATATCAACAATAGTTGTGCTCCCTGTGATGAGTAGATCTTACGCATTAAAGAAAATCACTCAATTCGTTTAAAAACAAGTAAAAATCGCATTCATTTTTCATGAAATTATGGAAATTATTTAGTTAATATTTTCTCAGAATCCTGAAGAATTATGGTCACTTGGAACCTCGATCATTGGTCTCAGGAAAGGAGTAGAATTTTGACACTGAATAAGATCGAGATGCACTTTTCTGCAGAAGACACGAATGACTTCATTTCAGTTAACAGATTAAAAGGCCAACAAGCAAAAGCGAGTCTTATCTTACTTGAATCAAATCTTAAAGTTAATCAAGCAAGAAATTTCAGGCCTTTGGCCCTGATATCAATGCACAATTTCAATATATCTATTTTTGGAAGCCTCAAAAAAGGTGCATCAGAAGAATATTTCTAAGAATACTCATGCCGCAGATCACACTACATACACTAAGAGTGTATCAGCTCACTATAAACTTTAATACTATATAAACGACTATAAACTATGCATCACCCAATTAGACGTACTGAATCAGCCAAATGTTACTGCAACCACACTATAGACTAGGTGATAGAAAAGTAGTAAGATGCAGCAAAATTCACCCATACGGTGATCTTACAGTGAGACAAGTTAGTAGCCACATTTAATTGAACGAAATTGACATTTTCGGCGATAGAAACATATCAGTAACTCATAAGTCTCATTAAAAATTTTGACACAGAAATGGAGTCTGGCAAGCACGGACCCGAGTTAGAAGCGCTGAGTAGAGGAAGCAGAGAACACCCAGCTCAGCTTTGAAGTCACTAAGGTGGCTTTTGACGTGCTCACTCAGATCTCCCCTGCTCTGGAACTCTTGTATTCTGCACACATTCACCAGCCTCATCACATGGATGAAAGAGGAAGTCAACCAATAGAATAATCAAAGACTAATAAGAATCTGAGTTAACTGATATCAATTCCTTTATGTAATATTTCCATAAACAAAGCCTTCAAGTGCACAAAGCAATTCAATGAGTTAGTGGTGAAGGCACTTTAGATGAAGGAAGAAGGCTAGAACACGAACTTACCTAAGACGGGAATGCTGGAATGCAGGATCTGAAGAATCGTGTCTACTGGCCTCATATTCTGCAGACAGAAAGTGGTCATGTAGGCAATAGGCAACACTGCTAATAGCAAGCTACAATGCATGGACAAACTTATGATGATAACAGAGAGCTTGAGTGCAGAAAGAGAGCAACACTGCAACAAGGATGAAAAAAGAACCTTCTCAAAAAGAACCTTCTCAAAAATCAAATATTCCATCCTATTAACTAGTAGGGTAACCTTTTCATGGATAGCTTGCTTTAATATGTGCCAACATATTAATGTGTGAAACAAATCTTTAACCGAGGCATCAAATCAATTGAAGAACGTCATAATTTTGACACATGAAACAACAATTATAGATTGAATCTAATTATTTTAAAGTCAGCACCATGGAGCTAAAATATTTTGTAAATGCATAATTGATGCGTCTTTTAAAATAATGAATTTAAAATAATTTTTAAATTTGAAATCAAAATAAATTAGAGAAGTATCCAGGAGTAAAATTTTCATTTGTAGAAAAGAAATCCTGAATCAAGATAAATATTCTAGGCAACATACTTACTAGCTTAAGAGATAGTTATAATGAGCCAGAAGCAAGAAATGTACATTTGAGCAGTAACATAATTTAGTGGCAGACAGTAATTTGTGGATATACACGTAGGGACTGTATACAAATTAACATGACAGAAAACAGATCAAACCTTCTTGAGAAACACACTCCCTCTCTGGAGCAACAAGCCGTAACTTAAGGCTGCTTTCATATTCTGAGTCATCACCTGCAAGTAAGGAAATATAATTGGAGGAAATATTTCATTAATATCTACATAGTTTCATTATGCCAGAACATGCATGTTAGAAGCTTACTTAATATATTATGGACCAAAAATTTGTCTTAGACTTGCTGCCCATCTGAGAAGCATTCATTTCAACTGGAGTAGCTTTGCTTCAGGACCTCAAAGTGCACTAAAGTTCTCTTAAGCATTTCAAGGTAAAATAAATCTGGCCATCACAAGTCACTCCTACACATAATATCTGAGTAAAGCTTCTTCCGAATTAACATTAAAAAAAACAACTTACCATTGTGGTGAGACAGGTGTATCTCCGGTGCCCTGCATGCCTCTACAGCGCACAGGCATAAAATTTCCGAGAGGCTGGCAGCCAAATATCCATCAACTGCTGCAGCAGATACCTTTGTGGGAAAGTTAAGTGTTTATAGAAAATAATAAAGTCAATTAAAAAAACAAAGTCCTGCCTACACGGCTTCTTTAATAAAAAATCATAGTAATAGTAGTACCTAGTGGTCAACAATGCAATTTCACAAAAAAATATTGTCCATATTAACATAAAACTAATTATTTACCAACATAATGGAGTGTAAAAAGTACTTCTTATTCTTAGCCTAAGAGAAAGCAAAAGCAGGAGGCAAACAGAGGTTAATTCAGCCCAATCCTAACAAAATGTTTCAAAGAAATTTATTATTTACAAACAGCACCATCATGCTTGATAAAGTCATCCTAATGCCATCAAAACTAGCCAAGATTACAACCAAGTTCATTTCAGGTCTGAACAAAGTCATTTATGAAACTTCAGAGAATTCAACACTCAAAGACTTCCAACCTACTGGTGCATTATACGTACCAGAGCACTAAATTTAATTGGTATATGTTATACCCTAGCTGAGAAAATGAAAATCAAACTGAAAACTTCTCTCACTTGCTTTAGCTGCTCCATAGAGTAATTAAGGGTGAGATTCTTTAGCAAGAATGCCTGCACAGGAGCAATAATTGAGCAGGGGCCTCCCATTGTCTGAAGGAGAGCAGTTGCCTCCTCACTGCTGAACACAAAGCCTGTAACAATGAATTTGTTTCAAAAAATGCAACATAAAAGACTTATTCTCTCTTAAAAATGAATGTGAAGACCTTGGTGCACAGGATCTCAAAAAGACCACATGCAAGTAATATGAAATTAGGTTTACCCAACTTCTTCTGTGAAAAAGATGCCACTACACATTATTTTTCTAGGCTTACAAAGCTGTTAATTTGCAAACAATGCACAGTACTAAGAATATGTGCACTACCTACCTATGTATCACAGCAGTTATCAAGAAGGAAATATAATTTTGAAGAAGGAAACATAATAATATATAATTTTTAAATTCCATTATTTATTATAAACGTATTTGTTATTTTTTGTTTAGATAAACCCATTGGTTTTAATAGCCACATAATAGGCATGTCTGAATTATTTATCATCCAAATTGTGGGTATAAGTCACCAACCAATTTTTATCATAATACAGCTAAATTTGTACTAATATTCTTTGATTAAACTTGAGAGTTTCTCAACTTCATGAAATTTCAAGTTCTCTTTAAAATAAATTTTATATGAGAAATAAATTTGATATCAGTATAAAGTATGGCATAGTTTCTCTCACCTTGCGACCAACGTTTGAAGAGTTGAGGTTGTATACATGGCCCCCATACAAGCTCAATAACATCATTTAGAAGTTTTTGCTGATCCTCCATCATGAGTTCAATACAATGAAATAAAAATGAGTATTTATAAATATCACTGAAATAAATCCAATATTAGACCAAGTAGTATTTTTGAGGCTAAGATATGTTTCAAGACTCTATTAGAGTTAGTGCTAGAGATTGCTTCAAGACTCATTTGCATTTAAAGCAGTCAACATGTCAATAGACCATGAACAGATCATGAATAACTACCAGTGTCAGTGTCTTTACCACTCTCTTATCCCCTACATTTTTCACCACTTCCATTTCATTCCAATAATTAATATGCGGGAAAATGTATATAATATGAAATGTTAGTGTACTTTCAATAATTCAAAATAGCCACAACTGATGTAGCCACACTCATTCACCAAATTACTTTTAACACATGGAAGAAGCAGCTTTATTGAACAGTTTCACCCAAGCATGGAATATATTTGTTTTCTTAGCCATAACTAGATCATTCAGCTTTCCAACATTTTTGGTGCCACAAGATTACTGCTAGATGAATTCTTTCCAATGCAATTCAATTATGTGCACAATCAATCCATGGAATTCAAAATTTTTCAAAAAAATGACATCTTGGAGCCACCACTTTTTTCAGATATATGTTTGAGTTGTTCAAATTTGGTTCCAGCAGTGACCAGCACTGTCTCTCTACCATGTTGCAATTCTATATTATAGATAATATAAAATAACCTAATATTTTGAGATTTTAGACCAATCAATGCTACTTTACTTACAGCTCCACAGCACAAGACACAACCACATAGTACTAAGTAAACAAGACAGCATCAGCCAGTAACCTCTATACGGTAGTTCAATGGGCAATAAATTTTACTTCACTCAATATAGAAATGCCTTATAAAAGTCTAGTTTCAAGGCATTTCATGACTGAAAAATAACAAAAACTTATGTTTTAACATGGATATCAACATTGAGAAACTTCAAACTATTCTCTCATTACTATCAAACGGTTTTGAGCATTTTTCATTAATAACTCTTACCATGAAACATTTCATAAACAAGTTTGGTCTCATTTTAAAGGTCTTTGCAAGGGCTATTGTATGGCATCTCTGAAAAAATTTGATATGCTATACGTTGGATGCAAGAATAAAAATAGAAAAATAAAAAATAAAAATTTCCCAAATTACCGTAAAATGGGGTAACTTTGACCACTTTTTTTCAAAATGATGCCATTTTTTACTAGATAAGTTAAACTTAAATTGAAACGTGCAAAATACAGGTCTATACTCTAGCTTTACTCACCATAAATTGCTGGCTCCTGCCTCTCATAATTTTGATGTAATTTCAAAAAAAGTGTTGGTCTTTGTTACCCCAGCTCTTGGGGTTTCTTTGACCGGGTAGAAATCAATTTTATTTTTTTGGTAAAATAACTCCAAATAACTCCAGGTTGTGGTGCATTGTAGTAGAACTCTTCTAATTACATATGCAAAAAACAAATTTTAGGAAAGTGTCATAGTTTGCAAATGGGGGGCGCTGCCCCCAAATGGGCGAAATGTGACCATCTAATGGCAGCTGTGACGGGGTAACATTGACCGGTTTGGAAATTAAGTTAAAATTACCATATATAAGACTCTGTAGAGTCTGAAACATAAAGAAAAAAACATTAATAGGCGTATCAAGCATAAAATATGTTATATAGGTACCTATGGTCATTTTAACTTAATTTCCAAGCCGGTCAATGTTACCCCGTCACGGCTGCCATTAGGTGGTCAAAGTTACCCCATTGGGGGGCAGCGCCCCCCATTTGCAAACTATGACACTTTTCTAAAATTTGTCTTTTGCATATGTAACTAGAAGAGTTCTACTACAATGCATCAAAACCTGGAGTTATTTTACCAAAAAATAAAAAAATTGGAGGGGGTACTCCGACAGGCTTTAAATAATAGCTCTTTTTCATGGGTCACTTCATTAATTTTTTTACCTATTAGATATGCAAACTTTTTAAATCTTTCTATTGTGTTACATAGCCTCAGTATTAGGCCTTTGATGGCCATTGACAAAAATTTTCTATGTCGAATCGTTTTTGAGTTTTGGGGGTTTTTGTTAAAAAAAACAAAAAGTGGTCAAAGTTACCCCGTCGGTCAAAGTAACCCCATTTTACGGTACCGCTGGTAAAGGGGTAATCCAGGATACTTGAAGTCAAACTTAATTTTAAAATGTTTGAAGCAGAGTGCAGAGTGTACTCATCTATTACTAACAGTACTCTGAAGTCCTCTTCTTTCTTTGTAGATGATGTACATGTAGAATAAATGACATTTTCTGTGATTTTTACCAGTTTTTCCTATATTGATATATTACCATATCCATTCAATACTGCATTATTGTGTGATATTACCGTATCCATGAACATGCCATTGAGCATTTACAATGCCCTTGTCCACTGCTAGCTTCATATCAGCAGCCATGCAGCATTTCATCTGTAGCTGTAAGCTTACAGGGCGGTTTGTAATTTCACCCCATTTTAATTGAGTTAATTCAATTCACTATAACAAAATAAGATTGTTAAAACATACCTGAAACAGAAAGAAATGTTTTAGTGACAACTATCATATTTTTTGGAGAAACAAATCATACTTTAGGTTAAATATATTTCATTCTATGATGCCCGATGCACAATTCTATCTATGCGCAATTTTGTGAGAACCAATGATGCATTAATTTTTCAACAAGTGACATTTTTTTGCTGAGTGAGGTAAATGTAATCAACATTTTTTGTTGTTAGTTGATTTTTTGATAAACTGGAGCCTTTGCTAATCAAAGCTCTACTGTAAATGCATTTTTAGGAGTGTCCCTTATTACCCTGTCCTGCAGAAATGGCCGCAATTTTTTTTAATGAGATACGCAAATTCTGTTAATCATGTTTTCAAGCCAAAACCTGTGTGCAACTTTTATGTAAGTAAAATTTTTTAATACGGCAAATATTTTTTTGCTAGAGACCTTAGCAGCAGTACTTTTCCAAAAATCTCATATGTCACACTTTTTTCAGGGATTTTCTAGAAGTAGTAAATGTAAGATTTCTTGACTAACTTTATGCTACATAGATAGTACAAATGTTGAACTTTATGCCACTATTTTTAGTTTTGCAATGTTTTGATTAGTTAAGCTGCTACAACATTTCTACAAAATGTGGGACGACTGTCCTGATTTTGGAAATTAAGACTGGCTTGGAAATTAAGTTAAAATTACCATATATAAGACTCTGTAGAGTCTGAAACATAAAGAAAAAACATAAATAGGCTGTCAAACATAAAATATGTTATATATGGTAATTTTATATTAACTTCCAAGCCGGTCTATGTTACCCCATCAGGGCTGACATTAGGTGGTCTAAGTTACCCCATTTGGGGGTGGCACCCCCATTTGCAAACTATGACACTTTCCTAAAATTTGTCATTTGCATATGTAACTAGAAGAGTTCTACTACAATGCATCAAAACCTGGAGTTATTTAACCACAAAATAAAAAAATTTGAGGGGGTACTCTGACAGGCTTTAAATAATAGTTTTTTTTTTTTGTGGGTCACATTTTTAATTTTTTAACCTATTAGATATGCAAACTTTTCAAATCTTTCTGTTGTGTGCCTTTAATGCCTATTGACAAAATTTTTCTATGTCAAATAGTTTTTGAGTTGTGGGGTTAAAAAAGCAAAAAGTGGTCTAAGTTACCCCACCGGTCTAAGTTATCCCATTTTACGGTATAATGAAACGTGAATTAATCAACACAGAACTGATATGAGAGAAATTGAATAAAATAAAAGATCCCTAGCCCAGTTGATTGCCATATCCATGCCCCAAAGTCTAAACTGTGCCTTACATGAGTTTGTACCAGTTACTGAAGGTCCAGCCTGTGCAGCACAGCCTGGAGCTTCTTCAGGCTCTGATTGAGAACAGCAAGCCCTCAAGCAGGCTTGGCTGGATCCCTATAAGATTCTATCACTACATATACCTAGTCATTATAACTCCGCTCATGAATGAAATATAAATATAAATTTCTTTCATGCTTATTCAGCCCACACTCAGGATAATTTAGGTTTTTTTGGGGAATTTTCCAGCACATAATGAGTTTTTTAACCCAACATTAATGACATTATGACATTGTAATAAGGTCTACAGTACCCTAGCAGCCTTTCACTAGGGTACCAATTATTTAGCCTTCTTTCTGGACCATTAGTTCTGGGAATACTTCCCGTGTGGACTTACGATGGCCGTGTGGACTTATAATGTGGATTTAAGATGGCTGTGTCGCCTGTGCGCACTTACAATGGCCATGTGGATTTGCGATGTGGACTTGGGGCAACCATGTGGACTAATGATGGCTGTGTGTACTTACCATGGCTGTCACACTAAATTATCTAGCAAAGTACTTTTTCATTACTCCTAAAAGGCTGAATCAGTGAGTCATAGATTTCCCATTTTCTCTGGAAGCTTGTCAAAACTGAAAGCCTCTACTTTGGCTGAATTTCTTGAGTGAAACTTTAAGTGTTTAACTGCAGCTAAGTTGAAGTTTACTATAAATGTTTGCCAAGAACTGAAGAACTCCCCACTGGGCACTGGTTTTTGGAAATTAAGACTGGCTTGGAAATTAAGACTGGCTTGGAAATTAAGTTAAAATTACCATATATAAGACTCTGTAGAGTCTGAAACATAAAGAAAAAACATAAATAGGCTGTCAAACATAAAATATGTTATATATGGTAATTTTATATTAACTTCCAAGCCGGTCTATGTTACCCCATCAGGGCTGACATTAGGTGGTCTAAGTTACCCCATTTGGGGGCGGCACCCCCAAAATTGAAACCAGTGCAGTGTTCTCCGCACTATTAATGGTGCGGATGCATAAGCCGATAGCATACCATCAACCAGGGCTACTCGGGACAATTTTGAAAGTTTTTCATTCATAACTTCTTACCATGAAGCAGTTCATAAACAAGTAAAGTCTCATTTCAAAGCTCTTTGCAGGGGCTATCACATGGCTTCTCCAAAAAATTCCATATGCTATTTGTAAGGTGCCAGAAGCAAAAAAAAGAGTGTCCCAAGTAGCCCCATCAAACGGGGCTACTCA